CTTTCAAAATACTTCAAACTAGCACATTTATTCACTATTTCTTTAATGTATTTTCTAAATATCACAGAGTATCTTAATATGACGAATCGTCATTTTAACATTTAAACGCGGATAATTCTGGATACACATGGATTTGAAGGCTCAAATTTTTACGGTGAGCTGTGTATTTCTGATTGACTGAGCTAAAAAAAATTCCCCTTTTTTGAGACTTAGTAAGATTGGTAAAAAAAAATGGCGCAACTGTCCCTTTAACAAGAGGCACTCTGAAGGCATAATTATTTTCATAAGCACCAAAAGAGTGCGAAGAGTGTATGACTAAAGGTTAAATATATCATGCGGTAGTGCCAAATATTTTTTATATTAAATCAAAGCTCCCAGTGCAGATGGTCTGAGATGAATTTTGAGCATTTACAGGGCTAAATTTACATTTTAAAAATACCACTCAAAGACCTGAGAGGCCCAATGTTCCTTTCTCCAACCCTAAATATACCACTGCACAGAAGAAAATTCGGCCGCCTTTTGCGTAACCACCGATTCCAGTTGAATTTGCCTCATTTGCCTTGATGAAGTTACATAATTTGTTGTAGAATGTAATGTTACCTGTTTCAGCAGGTGAAACGCGAGAGGGGGAGCAAGGCGGGGTTGGAAGGAACATTTGCCCCCTAAAGAAATGGTTTGCACCCCCAATTATTAATCAACATATTTAAAAAATATGATTTTTATATGCCATTGCCCTAAAATAAGTGTCAGAATGAACCAAACCAATTCAATTTCGAAATTTTCTTGAGGAACAGCCTCAGACGCTCCATGATAGGCTTGTGACTATGACGCTTTTATAGAGCATGGCCCAAAAACCTTTATATACGCCAGTCGAATAGTACTATTTTGAGAATTGTTAATTTTCGTAATAGAAATAAATTTAGAATTGTGATTGGATAAAATATTGATATCATTATTAACTTAATTACTATGACGTCATAATAACGTTACTAACGTTCACAAATTATAGTGACAGTCAACCTGTAATTACTATGTCGCAGTTTCGCTTTCAACAACAAATTAGAGGAAATATTGATGGTTCTGTTAGAACACAAAGTGTTACATGTAAGTAAATTCAACCTGAAATGATAACGGTTATTAAATATTCAACCATACATAACGTATAGCGTACAAATTGAACCTGTAATCTAAGTTAACACAATCTTTGTAAACATAATCTTTGTAAACATAATCTTCGTAAACATAATCTTTGTAAACATAATCTTCGTAAACGTAAACATAATCTTTGTAATCGTACAGATAAGAGGGGAAAAGAAGACAGCAATAGAGAAGGCAATGTTGGCAAACATATAAAATATAGGAGACCAAAAAAATTCGTTGAAAATGATGAAATAAAAGCCTTCATCATTGATAACAAAATAGAATTCATTAGGATTTTAGGAAATAACACTGGATTCATAAGAAAACGAGGTGACGGAGGAAGTTTATCTGCAATAGATACTACAGGTTAGTTGATACTGGTATTTCTAGAAAAAATACTTTATTTTGTCCTTGGTCAGTATGTTTCTGAATTCAATCAAATGTCTTGTATATATTCAGCAAGGACAACTATTATTGATATACTACTCTTTTAATTTAATTTTGCAACGTTTCAATTCACATACAGGAATCTTTATCAACCATAACAAGCTTGATAAAGATTCCTGTATGTGAATTGAAACGTCGTAAAATTAAATTAAAGGAGTAGTATATCCATAATAGTTGTCCTTGCTGAATGTTCTACCTACTTCTAAATGTCATTTAAAGATTGTCTTGTATATAGTTAAATTACTCTCAAGTATTTAATAATTGTTTCTGTATATTTTTCAGGTCAGGAAGATATCCACGAGGTATCAAAGGGTTTGGTAGAATTATTTGATGATTTTAACAACGCAGAAGATGAGGTCAAATGTTATATTTGGAAAAAAAATATAGACTTCCTTACAATACCCTCAAAACAACTTGTGTATGAGAGGAAAAGAACTGGGGGTCTGTTCAGCAAATCAGAAAAAACCATGACTGATATCGGTTAGTTAAAACATTATACAATACGCCTACTTAACACGTTTGTAAAGAGCTTTTTTGTATGTGTATAAGGGACACTGATAGCATCAATTTGCAACATTCCAATTTTCAATCAGACGTTTGTGGTTCCTGCAATTCCACTAAAACTAAGTGCTTGATGACACTAATAGCGAAGGACTTCATGTGATACAAACATATTTTGCAAACACATAGCTTTAGTGGAATTGCACCACGCACCAAAAGAAAGGTTTAAACCCCTGATTTAGTATTTAGGATAATAAATGTCTTAATTTTTTGATTTATCAATTAATCCATTATTCTATCAGCTGCTCTGAATTTAGAAGAAAAGCCGGTCATATTCCTTGAAGGACATCGACAGACCACCGTAACAACTGAAGGTAAATGGTTTTAGGATTATTATTAATACCTATTGCGCCAGATCAAACTTGAGTTGGCAGTGGCTCAACTATCATAGGGACTGTTTGAACCAAGTCCACGGCCATCACACCTAAGAGACCACCACCTTGAGAAAAAGCTACAATTATGATCAAACTAAGCAACCAGCAAATGAGTAAAGTAGTATTAACTATAGATTGAAAATCTTTAAATCTTACATTAGATGGAATTAATTTTCTAATACTGGTGTCTCAGAATACAGGAAAGCATAATATTATGTTACATAAAAAGCCCCACTTAAGTCCACAGGCCCCCACTCAACTAGTTAAGCCAATGTTGAGTTCCTGAAGTTTTATATAAAAAACAATCGATTGGAGCTACCAGGCTTACCTAAATGCCAAGATCATTGTACAAGATTTTAGTGATCCAATAATCTACACAGCAGTAAAACATACACTGAATTTATTTCACTTCGAAATGACTTGTCTTAATGATTTCAGATGGCAAAGTGATTCGTCAATGCCGTTTAATTGTGTTACAAAGTGAACTGGAAGAAAAACATTTCTACGCAGTTTTGGAAATAAATCGTGTCAAGCGAATGGAGAAAATAACAGAGAAAGAAAAGGAAGAACAAAAGAACAAACAAGATGGTGATGATAATAAAGATGGTGATAATCATGAAGACGGTGATGATAATAAAGATGAGGGTTATAATAAAGATGGTGATGATAATAATGATGATAAAGATGGTGATGATAATAAAGATGGTGATGATAATAAAGATGGCGATGATAATGAAGATGGTGATAATCATGAAGATGGTGATGATAATAAAGATGGTGATGATAATAAAGATGGTGATGATAATAAAGATGGTGATGATAAGGAAGATGGCGATGATAATGAGGATGATGATGATAATGAAGATGGTGATAATAATAAAGATGGTGATGATGATAAAGATGGTGATGAAAATAAAGATGGTGGTGATAATAAAGATGGTGATGATAATAAAGATGGCGATGATAATAAAGATGTTGATGATAAAGAAGATGGCGATGATAATGAAGATGGTGATGATAAGGAGGATAGTGATGATAATGAAGATGGCGATGTTAATCCAGATAATAATGAAGATGGTGATGATAATGATGATGATGAACTAAAGAAGAAAGAAAAACATGATAAACAAAAACACGAAAATCATGAAGTAGGCCTAGAATATAATAATCAACTAGATAATGACGAACAAGAACACAGTATTGAAATGAAAGAGAAAAAGAATGATGATAATCAAAATGAAAAAGATGAAAATCATCAAGAAGAACATTACAATCTTTCAGATAATGACAAAAATGAAGATGCTCTTGATAATGACGTAGAAATATCAAGAGGTAAGAATAATCTATAATAGGCCCATTATATTATCAATAGTCTTCCTCTGTTTGTTACAGGGGCATTATTATTTTTTCGAATTTTTTTTTTTATTGACATCATTAGTCGCGAAGGCCTTAGGCCTATGTGATACAAGCATCTTTTGAGATTAATGTTTCTGGTGTTTTCTACTAGTAATTCCCCACGCAATAGTCTACTTTTTTACTTAATATGTGAAACGATAAAATATGTTTCTGTGTGTTTCAGTTATGCAGAAGAAAAAGAACAATTTATTCAGAAGATTTCTAAGAAGAACAAGGAAAACTTTTAGACAACTTTCCTGCTGTATGAGAACTTAAAATTGATGCATATTCAACAGTCACCTAATTCAACTAAGATAAAACATTCAAGCCTCAAGACTATTGATCCACTTATTATCTATCATATTTGATAGACACGATCAATAACATGTGGATCAACTTAGTAGAACCATGCAAAGCTTAAAAAAACCTTTGAATCACTAGATCAGTGGTTCCCAGCCTTCACAGCAATCAGGTGGACCTTTCACACCCGAAAAATTTGTTTCATCCGCATTTTCAGCATGTGATGATGTGAGTAGCTCTAGAAACTCAAATCCACGAATAATAGGTTTCTTTATCTTAACAAGTGGACCTTCTAAGTTATACCTCTTCCCAGAAGGCATTAAGAGGGGGTGGCTCAACTTACCCCGTGGCTCAACTTACCCCACCCTCCCCTAGATCATATTTAATAGACTCGATATATAACATTCAAGCTTGGAGACCCCTTAAATACCAGTTTGTCTCACATAATTAATGTGGCCATAATTAATTCGTAATAATCTAAATAAGAAGAGAATTGCCAGCAGAATTCCAATGAGTGACCGATCAGGAAAGGCCAAAACGTTTTATTTTTGTTTATCCAGACTGTAGATACAGGGACATTTATGATTGGATAAACTCTTGATTATAAGCAATAAGAACATAATTCACTAGAAACACCAATTTGTTAAATAGTTGGCCTAGAAAACCTATCTTTAACTAAATAATTTATAATTTGGATTAAGTCAAATTTCTAAAATACAAAGGCTACAGAGTGTTTCGGACTACCCATCTTTTAGTCTTAACTTGACTTATCTCCCCTGAAATCGAATGTCTTAGGTGAAGGTCATTATATTTTCGTGGAGAAAGCAGAAAGGTTGCTTTTGCTACTCGAAACACCGACAGAATGCTGTCAGTTTGTTTCAAGAGTATTCGGCCAGTAAACCGAAGCGTAAGTATTCCATTTCTGTGAGATATTTGCAATATTAAGTCAATTTGTAGAACTTGGACCTTGGGTTTGTGTTTCAACTGGGTTGGTTGGCAACTTGATTCCTTCAAATTCATAATTTTACTTCTAGTCTACATTTGGGTTCCAGTGGGAGTAAGTTCCAGCTCGGTAAATTTGGTGTGGACTGTGCATTGGAGCTAGAAGGGATATACTTGGCAATGTCAATTAGTGGGGAGATTTTTTGTTGTGGTATTAATGACTGATGCTCCTTATGTCATAGAATCAAACATCAAAGTCAAACTGTGGACACCTGCCCATCTTTAAGTACTTGATCAACCTGGATGAAGAACAATTTTTCACAAACTAGGGCCTTTCCTGCAATGTTAGATTTTTTACTAGTTTGTAATCAGTTCCTTTTTCTATTTCAGTGGCTGAATTTTTCCTATCAATTAGTTAATAATTATGCAACAGCTTCTGAAGCATCCTTTGAGACAAATGTGAGTAGAATAGTTTAGATTTCAAAATGATTGATTAGTGAAAATATTTCCATCCATTGAGCTCATGGTTCTTGCAGACATAAAATTGATTTTGCATTTTTCAACTTTTACATAAAAGGGATCAAGGGATCTTTAACGTACACAGCCTGTAGCACACAGGATCACAGTTTATTGTCCAATCCGTATGACTAGACGCTTGTCAATGTTAGCCCCTCTTACCTACATCACTGACCCTACTCTCTGGCCACATCAAGTTCTAAATCACATATTGGCTATCATTTTTGTATGAATTGAAATATTAATCTCCAAATATTGCTGAGAGTCTCAGATTGTCTTTGGGTTGATGAAAATGCCAACCATTGAAAACAAAATTATTTGAAACTATGATTTTACAGAGGGAGATTTTCAGTTCAAAATGTGTCATTTTCACATGAAATTTCTTGGAGAGAATTCTGTTCATTTCAAGTGCAAAATTTTCAAAACTTATATATTCATGGACCCAAAGGCATTCTAAGACAATTGGTATGGACTTGAAAATCATATTTTGAATATTTGTGACATGAGAGAAAAAATTCAATTTAGAACTCAATGTGGCCAGAGAGTAGATCTTTGGTACATAATATGTAAGTGAAAGTAACACAAAAACCATTTTACTTTAAATAGTCCTGGACAAAAAAAAGACAATCAATGCTTTTTTTGTGAAAATCTTTTTACATATTTTTTCTCCAATAAATTCTTCTTTCGAAAAAATTCTGCTTTTGATATTTTCATTGTTTGAATAAAAATGTATTATTATTTATGGACTTTGTCTTTTAAAATGGACAATATTTGGTCAAATGGATAATCAAGTAGGAACCATATGGTTTTATTTACCACAATATTTTTATTTGTAGTTTGTGTTCTATTTCTTTTATTATAAGCCTACTAGAAATTTATAACATATGGAGACACTTATCCAAAAATAACTCATATTGTTGACAACATGAAAAGCAATGTGTTAAGAATTAAGAATTTCCTATTTGGTGTAGAGTTGAAAAATAAAATTAACAAAATAATGTTACTATATTACTAATATAAAGCCCAACCCTAACGTTAACTTGTTAGAAGAAAGTAACTTCACACTTTGCTCATGTAGTATGAACAGAAGGCCAGATATGGCTGGAAAAATTGATGGATTTACATAATATTGATTCTGAAAAGTCTTGAAAGTAACCGAAAATAAAGTTTAATTCTGTAAAAGTGGAATATTTGTAACTGAATAAGGTACAGTAACTTTAGATATGATACTTTAATTCTCAACTTGTGTTTTTCAGCCATGTAAACTACACAAGCTGGATCAAGGACCCTCAACCAATGTCACAGTATCTAGAGATGATGCCTTAAAATACTATCGAGAAATGCAAATGATAAGGCGTATGGAAACTGTAGCTGGCAATTTGTACAAATCTAAAATTATTCGTGGTTTCTGCCATCTTTATTCTGGTCAGGTAAGAAATTGTTTCTTTTCTGTTTAAGCATGTTTAGCTGCAGACTTAAGCTTATTTAAAGGGATAGGTTTGCCAATTTGGGTGTTGATTTGAGTCTTATATTATATAATATATATATATAATATGTAAAAAGCCTTCAGAAGTACTAGAAATGTATGATAAATAACATAATTCCTTTACAAAAATATCTCAAACTAAGAACTTATTTATAGATTTCTTTTCTGCACAACTTTTACTCCCGATATTGCCGTTGTTTTGACAACATTTTTGATTAATGGAATTGTATTGCTTATCCAGAGTTTTATCACTGGCTTCAAATGAGGAGTATCTGAAAGGCAGTTCGATTGTGTCTATAAACTCCAGTCACTAGACATGCTGTATTTTATTCTTATCATTTCCCATATTAACCTGGTTAGCCACGCCTCAAGCTTGCAATTTTAATGGACCATTGTTTTCAAGTTTAGTGATTCATATTGTGGAATGTGTAAAAACATGAAACAAAAAGAAATTTCCTGCAAGAAGTGAAAGAGATATGAAAAGATTTGGCACCTTTTATCTTTTAGGAAGCTATATGTGTTGGCATGGAAGCAGCCATTAAAAAAGAAGATGCAGTTATTACAGCTTACAGAGCACATGGCTGGTCCTATATTAGAGGGGTATCTATTCTAGGTGTATTAGCTGAACTTACAGGTATAGTCTATGCTTTCTCTTTCTTCTGTTTCCAGGAAAATATATCCATAGACCTTATTCGCGCGTCGGCCATATTGAATCCAGAACTCATAACGCAAAAAATAAAAAGGCAACGTTGTGTCACTGCATAAATTCTCCAAGTTGACAGCATTATCGCCTGCTTCTCTAATCCCACTCACTCGAAACTAATCATATTTTACATCATTAAAATCAAAATTGATTAAGCTACATGATGATACTTTTAGATAAATTTTACTGTTAGACATTTTCGAGAAAGGGCAGTTTTAAGCCAATTTTCTCGCTGTTAAAGAGTGTTTAATGACATCAGATAGGCTATTTATTCATATGACGTTGTCATCTTATCAATGGAAGACGTAATTTACGTTATGAACTTCGCTTTCAATGTCCCAAAAATGAGGCGTGAATAAGGTCTATACCTAGTTATTCTATGAAGTTTTCAGTATCTCTATGAGTTGCTTGCTCTATAGTATGACATAATCATCTTTACATTATAGGTTGAGATAGTACCTTCAGATTTTGAACTTGGTTTTTGTCATCTCAGAGATGATTGAGATGAGTTTGATTGAGTGTTATTGAGTGAAAGTACTCAGTTATCCATAGTTTATGACTTTCAAGATCTGTAGATAATTAAAGAAATTATGCTTTTCCTCTGCTCTAGTATAATTGCACCCTACTTGAGAGTTTCTGTTTTTTGTAATATTAAGTAATATGTAGAATGCAATAACTCATTCATTATATTCATTATATTATAGGAAGAGTATCAGGATGTGCTCTAGGTAAAGGTGGTTCTATGCATATGTATAATGATAATTTCTTTGGTGGTAATGGTATTGTTGGTGCTCAGGTAAAAACTTAGTTGTTATTAATTTTATACGTTCACATTAGACAACAAATAGACTATAGAACCATGTATGTTTTCCGTGTGAAGAGATTACTTGAGGAAGATTCAATGAAGTTTTTTTTCCATAATTCATAATTGTTTCTTTTAGGTTCCATTAGGTGCTGGTATTGCCTTTGCTAAGAAATACACCAATGCAGATGAGATTTGTATCACTCTATATGGTGATGGTGCAGCTAATCAAGGACAGTTATTTGAGGCTTATAACATGGCTAAACTGTGGAATTTACCGTGTATATTTGTGTGTGAGAATAATGGTTATGCTATGGGGACTAGTTTAGATAGGTCATCAGCTAGTACCACTTATTATACTAGAGGTGACTATATACCAGGTGTTCAGGTAGGTTAAAGTATTTATCATCCAGTCTTATTGATAAGTGTTCATGGTTGACATGGGTTTGAGAAGGTATTACTATATTATGAAGTTTTGGTTCACATGGGACAATAAACAGGCTAAGCACGTTAAAGATCAAAGATAGATCAACAGTTGGAAATCAAAAAAGGGTAGACTCAATTTTCTCATTGCACACTACATGACGTTGCCCATCTCTATAAGCCCAACCAGGTGTAGAAAAGGGGGATGTAAAACTCCATTCTTCATTTAAAGTACTTTGTTCATCTGTTCATAGTTGATAGGTGTTCAGGGTGTTAACTAGTGTTTTGCACAGAAAAGACCTTATTGAAAATTATGAAATTTTTGAATTTGTAGGTAGATGGTATGGATGTTTTAGCTGTAAGAGAATGTACTAAGTTTGCTCGAGATTTTGTCTTAAAGAATGGACCTATATTAATAGAAGCTTCAACTTACAGATACAGTGGTCACAGTATGAGTGATCCTGGCACTAGGTAGGAACCTCCTGTTTTTTGAGGACTGACTGCTTGGTTAGGACAATAAATGATGGTCGCGGGCTCTGTATTCATCCGTTACATACAGAATTCTGGTGACTTTGAATTAGTCATACTATCTTTAGTAAAGTTTGATATCTTTTGCAATTTTTCATAATGAAATGTTTTGTTAAATTTTATGTTGTAGCTATCGTACTAGAGAAGAAGTCCAAGAGGTAAGAGAAAGAAGAGATCCCATATCAAAATTTAAAGAGAGAATTCAGACTTCAAACTTGGCCACACCAGAAGAGATTAAAGTAAGTCATCTTATGATATTTCATTTTTTTTATATTTACATTAAGTCGTAAATTGACCAAACCCCTTGGCATTGATATCTCCCAAATTGTCTGTACCCATGTTCAGCTTGGTCAACTGGAATAATGGTGACTTAAATACAAGGTTAACAGACACCAAACAAGATTACAACCCTCAACCACCATGTTCAACATTACCAAGTATTGTCCTGTTAAGTTTCAAACAATTTAACTGACTGTAATACAGAACCCCTCCTTTTAATTCATTCATTCATTCATTTATATATTCATTCATTCATTCATTCATGCATTCATTCATTCATTTTTTACAGAAAATAGATCAAGAAGTCAGGAAGCTGGTAGATGAGGCAGCAGAACAAGCTAAAACTGATCCAGAATTACCACTGGAAGAATTATATAATAAAATCTACTATCAACCACCATCTAATTATAAAGTCAGAGGTTGTGATCCCTCTATATTAGCTCCATCTACATAGTTTATTTATTATATTAGGTACAATTATACAGGCTATATTCTTGGTCATTGTTTGTGAGTTTGTTAGAATGTCAGGCAGTATCTGGAAATGAGTTTTCAGTTTTTCACTGCACATGTATATAAGGTACTTGTCTAAATACCAGTATATTTGCTTTGCCATCTAAAAGAGCTCAATTTTCTCTATCCATATCACTTTTAAGAATTAAAACTGACTTCCAGTTTCCCTATCATTAAACACAAATTGCAGGAGAACCAGTTGTCAGTATTTCATTTTGAAAAGTAATAAGTACAGTTAGAAATTAGTTTTATCTGATAGTAAAGCAAACCTAGACAAGTATAACCCTTTTTGGCTTGGTTTTAAAAAAACTGATTGTCGAAAATAACATGGCAAACCAATGGGAAAATATCAAAGTTTCTCAACATAGAAACAAGGGTTTGTTCCAATCATTACATCTTTACAAGTATGACTTATTTTTGCCAAATGGATTTAAAAAGAGTATATAACAAGTGTGGGCTAGTTTTAGGTGTACAGTTAGTTATCAAAATATTTTGTTGTGGTTAGAAGTTATTGTGTTGATGATTGCTGATTTTTTTTCTTGTCCCAAACAATGACCAAATATGTCTTATGTTTGCAAATTCCTGAACATTTTATTTGTATGGTGCAAACTCTCTGTTATAATAAATATAATGAATATAGTTACAAGAAAAATATTATTGAAAAAATATTTGAAACGGAAGAAATTTTTGTCAAAAATAAGCTGGCCCACACAAACCTTTAGTGAAGAAGTTATTTTGGTTAGCAAATGTTACGATACAATTAACTGAACTTATTTTAAAGAAAAATTTCTTTAGATCATTGATGCAAGTGTAATAACCCCAAAAAGAAGATGCAACAAAACATTTATATCTTGGTATATTTTAGATTACGGAGTTTTCACTGTATAAATAAAATGTGATTTTAAAAGAAAATGTATATAATATATAATAGGTATGATATACATATTTGAATTGTATTAGTATTATTAGTGCTATAATTGTATATTACATTTGGATTGATAGCTTTCTTGTTAACTCACTTTATTCTAAGGATTAGGGTGTATTTTTGTTGTCATCACTGCAGGAACATTATAAATATTCTCATGTAGGTAATTATGACTGTAAATTCAAGATAATTTACACATTGGAATCTGAATTAGGCGCTTGAAGTGAGGAGAGTCCTACATCTTCAGATTTCACATTTGAAATCGAGCTGTATCCGATGTTATCTAAATGACTATATAAACAGTTATTGGTTCCAATGAATTCCACCATTGATCTTGTTTCTTTAGCTCTGGTCTGGCGTTCAATTTGCTCAACTTATAATTGGAATTTTATACCACTAAAACATCTTGGTATATATTTATATATTTTGTTGAGACCGCTGCTATTTTAACAACAACATTGGGGAATTTCATACGGGTTGGGTAAGAGTCTTTATATTATATATTGTTTGTGGAAATTTTTAGAAAATTTAACACTTCAAGTTGATCTTAATACAGTTATCTTTGGATTAGATACTACATCTCAAGGTCCTCAACAACAAAATGTATTCTACAATTTCAAGAATAAGCTATGTATTTTGAAATCAATATTATTTGTAGGGGTAAAATTCATAGTTTTTGTTAACTCATTAAACTTGATTCCTGTGACAATAATGATATCTAATTTTGACTTTCCTATTAGAATTATTAAGGTATTCACCTTTGTATTGATCTGAATAAAAGTTATATAGCTATAAACTTTATTATTACTTGTCTTGTATCCCAGTATTCCTCTATTTTTCTGTCCACTGGTATCTTTTTTTTGAATAAAACCACAAAAATTTAGTTTTGAGGAATTAAATGATTTCTATGTACAAAATAACTTTAAAAACATCTTGTAAAATCTTCAGCTGATATTTTCCAAGTCCTCTATATATTTGTTGTATTCCTTACTATGTATGCTTGACTGACTGAGGTTAGGTTCAGTAGAAAATTCCTGTTAAAATTTCACTTTAACATTACTTAAATTTATTACTTACATAACAACATACAGAACATATTAATTATTCTGGTAAACCAGCTCAAAACTTCACTTCAGCTGCACATAAATATTTTCATGATCAACATAGCAAACCTAGACTCTACAAAGAGAAATCTGTGCACAGAAAATCTTCACATGGTCAAGGTATTACCAAGCTTATCTTATACCTTGACTACAATAGCCATATTTCTTATATTACAGAAGTTTGTAAATGCAGCGATTTAATTAGATTGAATGCAAGATAATACAGCCAATCAAAGCCCTGGACAGAAAGTCTGTTAATAATAAGCCATTACATTGACCGTCTTTAGAGGGCTCTGATTGACTGCATTTGTAGGTATGCAATCCAATCAAATTGCTGCATTCAGAGATAAAAGAATCATAGCTATTGTAGTCAAGGTATAAGACAAAGTTTGTTATACCTTGACCATTGTGAAGATAAGGAGGGTTCAAAACATAAATAAGAATGTTGTACTTTGATTTGAGGTAAAAAAAAAAAACAAACCATCATGGAATCTATAGAAGACTTCCTGAATACAATGTTGACTGCTTGTGTTTTTGATTAGAATCTTCATTGATGTACACAATACAATGCTACAGTAATAAACTCATGCAATTACCAGTAATCAAAATTAAATTCAAGTGTTCTTACTGCCATTCCCACATTCTTAAAATATTATACTTCATCAATAACAATAAATATTAAAATATCACAAAATAAAAATAACAATATATAAGTATAACAACATCTTTTTATCAGAGATTACTACTCTACTCTTCCATTCAACAACACTTAATAAACTCTGTCTATTTCACCCAAAAACAACCATTCAATCATCTAAAATCCATGCTTCTGAAACATCCATCTTTAATTTAAACTGATGTAAAGAGATTGTAAAGAGACTTTCTAAATTTTGTATTTGTATCGGAGACACTAATAGCATCAATTTGTGCCATTCCAATTTTCAGACATCAGTGGTTCCTGCTATTTCAGTCAAGATCCTTATATCATTTCAATAATTATGCATTATGTCATAAAATGCTTACTTTTAGTGCAATTGCTCAGACGTCTGACTTTGAAAATTTGAATGGTGGAAATAGATTATATAAGTGTTCCTGATACTTACAAAAATAAGAAAACCTTTTTCCAATTCAATATCCACTGACTTTATAATCAATGAATATACAATATCTGATATGATATTTGTAATTTTTTGGGATCAATTGAATGCAAAAAATGTCACTGTCATGATACACACATCTTCACAATGAAGAGCAATTACGAACTACGTCTTGTATCTTATTAGCCACCTTTCTTGTCTCATTCAAGTTTGTAAATGCAGTGATTTGATTGGATAGTACGCTAACGAATACAGCCAATCAAAGGCCTCAACATAAAATCTGTGAACAATAATGCCACATCAAAGTACGTAATAGCTTGACATTGATGGGATACATACTGTGTATGGAATTATGGAGGAAAAAACAGTTAAAAAATCATCAATCTATGGCCATCATTTGCTATTTTCTAGTCACGAGTTCATAGAATTTTGGGCAATGAATAGCAAAGTCAAGGCCACAAGATAGATAATTATCACAAAAAAATTCTTAAGTTGGTAAACCAAGAGAAATATAAAAAATTGAATTTGAGATTCTTAAAAATGTGAAAATTCTTATAAAATATGAAACTTCTTTTGGTGGACATACAAAAAGCAAAAATCTAACAATAAAAATAAGGAATGTTTAAAAGAAAACTAAATAAAGAATGTCTTATTATTAATAACAGACACAAATTTCATTTTCCTTGATTTTTTCGATTTGTTGGTATCATTGACACTCAAATAGGGAATGCTTATTACTTGTGACCTTATAGATAAATATGAAAAATGTTACCACAAAATTTTCAAAATCAGTCAAAAAAGCATTAATAAAAACAGCCCGCAGAGTGCAGAGCCAATAAAAGTTTTATAAATTCAAACTAATATTCTTATTCTTAACAATTTGTTAAAACATTTGCACATCTACAAATCTATATCTATTTGGAAATAATGCTTAATTAAAACATGTGACTAGAAAAAACTTCTTAAGAAAATCTTTCTGAATGAAAACCACTAAAATTCATTAAAAATATCTTTTTAAATTTTTGGAAAAGGCAAATGTGTTTATAGTTTTGATTTTCGTTAATTTCAAAACAAGGCACTTTTTGACTTGGTTTTTAACTTTCTACTGTTATTTTAATTCCTTAATATCTTTTTTTTTTTACTTTGGAGAAAAATGGGCATTCCATATAAAGCACCAAAAAAAGGAATGTTTTTAATTGTTCATATCAGTATCTTAATTTACGTATTTCCATAATCAGAAATGCCCAAAATGAATCTATGCTGAGTGTGAAGTCTGTATATTTTGAGAATGGTGCATCAAGGCACTTCTAACATAATGGCAATAGACAATCACATCTTGGAATATGCACTTTAACCAAAGCACCAATACTTAGGGGAGTGCTCGATTGGTATGTTCTGCACATTCTGGATTTATGGAATCAACCGACCGTTCAATAAAATAAGTTGGAAAATAGTTCAGAACAAGTTCCACATTTGCTCAAACAATAGTAGGTCCAGATAGAATTCCAAATGGTGGAGAAGGAAATAGTTGAGAAAATTTTGAATGCAATGCTTTCATATCATTCGATTGGGGGCAGAATTGGAACAGGCGGAACCTGTTAAAACTCTCAAATCAAATGCAACCTCAGTAGTTCATTGGTTTTAATCATATGGTTTGTAGAGGTATTCAAATTCTAACCTATTCATTCCATTCACTACATTAACCACTGTGCCCACACATTAAACCTAATTCTTTAACAGCTACCAATTTTGAATTTCAAATATCATCAATATGAAGAACAACATCATTATAAATTTAGAGAACAACATCATGATAAATATGTACAACATCATCAAGTTGACATCAATGTTAAAAACAACACCATCATTAATATGGAAAACATCATCAATGCGACATAGATGATGAATACTATCAATATGATATCAATATGAAGAACATGATCAATATGATATCAATATGAAGAACATGATCAATATGATATCAATATGAAGAACATGATCAATATGATATCAATATGAGGAACATGATCAATATGATATCAACATGAAGAATGTGATCAATGTGATATCAATATTAAGAATATGATCAATATGGTATCAATATGAAGAACATGATCAATATGGTATCAATATGATTTCAATATTAAGAATGTGATCAATGTGATTTCAATATTAAGAATATGATCAATATGATATCAATATGAAGAACATGATCAATATGATATCAACATGAAGAATGTGATCAATGTGATATCAATATTAAGAACATGATCAATATGAAGAACATGATCAATATGAAGAACATGATCAATATGAAGAACAACGTTTATAACGTCATTATCAATAAATATAAATATGTAAATTAACAACAACAAAATGTATCGTAACTGAGAACAACAACAACGTCATGACAGTCAAATGTCAACTACAAATTCAATTTGTTTAAAGATTTCATGATATCTTTTGATATTCATTTTCAAATGATAATAATTAGTTGATTGTTAATTATATGGCCTCTATTAATGTATGTATATTGTAATTTGTAGGCAAGTATACTCCACCATTTTTTACAGGCATTCTATACCTTCACATAAACCATCACCGGAACAATGGCCACCAGCTGGAGTATGATCTGGTAACCATACAAAGTCTCGAACTTCTTTTTTATTAGATGGACAACAATGACTGGCTTCTGTAAAGAGAAAAACAGATAACATTCATATGAGAACACCATAAATACAAGATGGATAGTCACATGAATGGGTATTGGGAAGATACAACCATTATTACAAGGATAACAACTGAGGATCATTTCTACAAGTGGTCCTTAGCCACACCACTTGGTGATAATCTGAACCTACAGCTGGGTCGAGAAAAAAGTTGACTTATTCAAGGTCACCAAGATTAGAACCTACGACCACCATTTGTGTGACATAACCAATCATGTGATGTCATGTAAAGATTCCAACACTGTAACAGACACTGCTACAGCTAGTAGGAAATTATATTTCTTATACATGTACTTAAAAAACTGAGGTACCGTTAGCCAGTCTAGTGTCCAAGTGGCATGTCCTGAGCAACTCAAAGTCTCTGATTTGTGACTATGTAAAAGCATTGATGGACAATATGAATTATACAATAAAAACATGCCACATTATATCAAACTACAATGTGCATGGGTGTGAATCCAAAAAACCTATGAAAATTTGTTCCCCACCTTGGTCACGACTGAGAGTTTTAGCTTCCTCCATTAATTTCTGATTTCTGATGGACACCTCTTGATGATTCACCATAGGAGCTGGATAATCTTTATCAATTATACAACCAGCTTTCTGTTGTACCTTCAAAGGTGCTTTCCATGGTTCAAACAAGAAATGAAGTGGGAATCGAGCTATTTCTGGTACATATCGTCTGAAAGCACAAAAATACAATAATATTAGTCCCAAAAACTGGACATAACTCAAAGAAACACATAGACATGCATGCATCAAATCATAAAATGCCACCTCATTCCATGAGATTTCTGGTAGTCTTGTGACATGACATGCATTTCAGGAGGTTTCATTTTTGTGTTTTTCTGAAGGTTCCTACACAAGTCATCCATGATCTGACAAGATTCTTCTTTAAATTGTGTTCTGTGCCAGAATACCTCACATATAGTAAGGAAACCATTTTTGACAGGAGCATTTGATTGGTTGAATATTAAATGATCAACAACCTGAGATACATAACAATGTTATCAGATCATGGATGCAAGGTGGAGCCACTTGAAGAAAATTACAAAAAAAATTAATAAAAAAATTCGGATTGCACAATTACTTACCTTATATACTCCCCTGTAGGGTCCATTCTGCGGCCATACATACTGGGTGAGAAACATTGTGGACATTGTAACATCTTCTCAAAGGCTGAACTACTAACCCACATCCAATTACCAGCACATACAGACCAATCAGCATCAATCAAATACTTATCAAAAACCTGTCAATAAATCAATCAAATGTTTATCAAAAACCTGTAAATAAATCAATCATATGTTTATCAAAAACCTGTAAATAAATCAATCATATGTTTATCAAAAACCTGTAAATAAATCAATCAAATGTTTATCAAAAACCTGTCAATAAATCAATCAAATATTTATCAAAAACCTGTAAATAAATCAATCATATGTTTATCAAAAACCTGTAAATAAATCAATCATATGTTTATCAAAAACCTGTAAATAAATCAATCAAATGTTTATCAAAAAACTGTCAATAAATCAATCAAATATTTATCAAAAACCTGTAAATAAATCAATCAAATGTTTATCAAAAACCTGTCAATCAAATAATTATCAAGACGTAATTTTGAGAAAGGAATATAACTCAACATGAAATTATAAGCAAATATTGATTTCAAATCGTCTTAAAAATAAGCCCACAATATTTTGTTTTAGGTATAGACTTACATTTTGCTTAGACAATGACATAAGCCTATTCTTTTTTTTATTTCCAACAGTCAAAGGATCTTTAACTTGCCCAGCTTGTAGCACATGAGGCCTTGGATTATTGTCCCATTTGCAAGACTAGACACCCTTTCCATGTCAAACACTCCAAATTGTATAATTGATTTAGGATAAACGGTTGAAAATCTGAAGGTATTGAACCTTGAACCTTGAACTACCAGAGCTCCCAATGATCTCTGGAGTATAAATATGAAGACATAAACATCATTACCTTCAGACCATCTTCCCAGCTGAGCCACAAATCACCTCTAGTTATAAAACATGATACCATATGTCTACCAACATGATGTAACCAACCTTCAGAACGTAGTTGATTCATACATGCATCAACCCATGGAAATCCTGTTTTACCCTGTAATGAAAGAAACGAGTCATGCAATAAACAATACCATGCATTGTGCAATGAGGAAAATTCTTCTGAATATTCTGATTGCATTCTAACAGCAGTCTCTGATCTTGGTACCGGTATATATTTCAACTACATTAAAGAGTCAATATGGTAGAAATTCTGCAATTCTGTAGAATCTTAAAGGTAATTTTGAAACTTTTCTGCTCATGCTTTGGCTAATGATTTGGCAAGGGCATGCAGTTTGCAATAAGGGAAATTTTACCAGGTATTCAACCCTCTCTTTCACAATTTTTCAGATTCTCAATTTGGTCAATTCTGCTTAATTTTTCTTCATTTAGTGCACTTACATTAGTCCACCTGTCTAAATGTTCTTGATTTTTATACCATTTAATATTGAGACAGACTGGGTTATCTTTCATAGTATTAAAATGTAGATTATTTACTGACATAGTATAGAAATATTCTCTCCAGATTAACATAGCTATAACAGATACTGGTGCTTCTTGATTGGGATACACCTGTAATAATTAGTATATAAAAAATATATTAACTGACGTCTTCTTTCCTTAATGGTGGTCAAAGTGATAATCACTTTATAGTAATCATAATGTTCTCTTTAGACTATACTTCCACATTAAACTGCAGGAGAAACACACATCTGAATCTAATTCTGAAAAGTGATACAGATGGATAAAATTGAGCTCTATCAGCTGGTACATGTAAATTAAATATTTATATCACTATCTTTGACATTACCTTGAAGACATTCTAAAAGTGACATTTCAAAGTGTACTGACCTCAGCATACGCATCTAGAATTTTCCAATAAAACTCTCGAACAGACACTGTACCAAATCTTAAATGTGGACTTAAACTTAATGGTGGACCAGTTAGATCTGGTTTATACTGGTTAGGCATGCAGTATCCTGATTCAAAAGCCTAAAATAGATTTCATTAATAAAGATTATAAAATAAATGTAATATAAGTTTGGGCAATGCCTTGCAGTGTGTAATGAAGGAAATTTTGAAACGACAACAGCATTAGTCTACTATTTTTCGAACTCCCACTTTCAAGGGATCTGTAATTTGCACAACCTGTAGCCTCAGTTTATAGTCACCCAAACAATGTCTTTCAGTTCCGCCACCCTGCATTAGGACCTGCATTATTGGTTGGAATATCGACAAAACCTAAAAGACTTAATTCTAAAAAATGTGAGTCAAGGGTGACCATTAGTTCTTACCAAACTTTCAACTTTCATTCTAGAATCTAGAAGTTTTCTTCCTCTTGTTTCACCACCAATATAATTATTGTAAGGTTTCTTCTGTTTTTCATCCTCACAATAAACACCTACAAGTACAGAGAAATTACTCTCAAATATTCTAAGCCACTATTTGTGGATCCTCATCAGTAAAAATGAAACTTTAAATGTATACAATCATTAAAATATAAGTATTTCTAGTTAATAGAGCTCAATTTAACTGATTATTATCAGGTTTTCAGACAATTCAACTTAAATGTGTTGTACAAGTTTATACTATTGTTATTTTTTTGGGCCTAAAACTCAAAAACATAACGTAAGATGAGTTCCAGTCAATAACGTTTTAATTTGTTTTATAAAGGTGCAGGCACTGGAGCGATCTTGGTCGGATTTTTTGTCTGGCATACGTGACCGTGCTTCCAGAACAAGATTAGCGTGTCACCGACAGGATATATAATATTAAACAAGTTTGATAATTGTCTCTGATAGTTTTATTGTCATCATCCAATCAGATTCCTTTTCCTTTCAATTGCATGCTCTGTATGTGATTATAGCCAAGGTGGAAAACAACTGACTAGAGATTTTTGTCCCCTCATGTGCCCATGCTAGTCGTGGGAAACTCAAGACATGACTCTAATCGTCAACAAAAGTTTCTGACCAAGACCATTCGTGTGTCTGAACCTTTATCCAATCAGATTACTGTCTTTCTTTCAATCTGCATTTCAAACTTATTAAGTTAAAAAGTTGGTAATAAGGCCCAAGGAAAACAATTTAGTAAAACAACTTTATGACACCATAGAGAATTCATCACCTACCTAATTCTTCACATGATGGAATTTTAAACTTATTATCATCATCATCAGATTTACTGCCAAAATTAACATGGGTAAAATCAGCATCTGGTTCTGGACGTGCTGGACTACCAACCAATTCACTGACTTGTTTAAACAAATCAAATGTTAAAGGTGGGTGACCTCCATTATTTTCAATAATCCTGCAAAAATGAGTCATAATGTAGAACACGTTGCAAGAGTTTGCTAATTATACCACTGATCTCTGATTAAAGGGACAAGACACCAGGTGTTGAGTCTTAAATATATGTAAATTGTCTTCAGAAGCACTAGAAATGTATGAAAATCGCATAAATTGTAGCCTTAAAGGGGATTTTAAAAAGGTTTTCTAAATTGTGTATCAGTATCAGGTACACTTATTTCAACAATTTGCAACATTCCAATTTTCAGTCAGACGACTGAGGCTCATGCAATTGCACTAAAAGTAAGAATTTTATGACATCACTAGTGCCAACTATACTGACTGGAATTGCAGGAACAACAGACGTCTGATTGAAAATTGCAATGGTGCAAATTGATGTGATCAGTGTACCCGATACACATGAAAAATTTAGAAAAAATTCCCTTTAAAGAGCACTTAATGATGCCTCGTATTATCACGCGATCAAGTCAATGACCAATTGTCCAATAGTATTCTCACCAAAATCTAACAGGACCACTTTATCTTGATAGGATTCAACACTTACTCATTAGGGTTCCATAATGTATGACTATGAAATTCTTCCCAATCTACGTTGTGTCTTTCACATAATCCTTTTACTTTATCATCTCTTTCTTGCCATATTGGTTCTGGATCAACTTCAAAGGTCAACTTGGACACATTCCATTCCTATGGCAATCACAAAAAATCATTGTAATTATGGCAATATTTCTTGGCTTTGAGAAGTGAATGCTTTTTTTTTTAACTTCACATGACAAAAAGATAATCGAAAGATTCATCAAAATATCAACAGCTATCTTGAAACATTCATGTATAAATTTACAAAATGTCTGTGTATCAAGATAATATTTGAATATTCACAGTCACTAGGTTATAAATATCTAATGTAATTTTGTGGGTAGCTCGTGTAGAAAGAAAACTAACCAACTGTCATTTTTTCAATTTGCAAAAATAAAAATTGGAGGAAACTACCAATGTCAGTGACAAGGGATAAACTTTAACAACCATCAGAAATACTAAACAGTCAAAAACATATCACTTACGACAAATAGATTGGTAAATATTTTAACAGGATCTCCTCTGAAACAATATAATCTTCCACCTAATGCTCTAAACTGTCTATCTAAATCATTCAAACTTTCTACTAGAAACTTCATTCTAGGATAGGCTGCAGTCTTTGTTCCTATAATCAAATAATAAAAACACTTAATTATAATGGTACCTGGTACTCTAAATAAAACATCTTTTAAATTGAATAGATATAGAAAAGCTTTCTTATATATGAAAAGCTGTGGACCATTGCCAAACTTCAACTTAATTTACAGTGGAGAGGAAGGGGGTAGGGCTAGGTGAGTCAGTTGTTCACAAGAGACCAACATACTGTGTATTGTTTTTAATGATGGCCCTATACATTCCCTAACACTTTATATGTCTATACGTATTAAAACAGAAACGAAACCTTAAAAAACTCTTGTTACTGAGTTTCATGCTGTGGGATCTTCAGACAACTGACCTATTTCAGCCTACCTCCATACTGAAGTTGGACAAATAGGTCTAGAACTTATTCTCATGTCTACATTTTCGGAACGTTATACGGTACACTATTGTATAAATATGTAAAATGCTCATATATAAGCTTACATCTCTTTTTTGACATCATGTAAATGAAAAAGCATGAAAAATTCTAATAAACAACAATCACTGTATTGAAACATTGTCAATAATGTTAAATAGGTACTTCTCTTACCGGCAACTTCTCCATCAAATATAAACACTGGATAGAATTCATTACACGATTTAACAGCTGCTAACAGAGCAGGATTATCTTTTAATCTTAATCCATGACGAAACCATAACACTGATGTCCCCTTCCTCAGATAAGAATTTTTTGAATTCATTTCCCTGTAAATTATTAAAATTAAGATAATACAAATATTAAAACAAAATTTCAGGTTCTCGAGAATAGATGGAATAGATGGAATTGATAATAGATATAATAGCTAGATAGAAAGAAAAAAAACAGGTAAAACAATAAACAAACAAAAAAACCCACTTACTTGCTCCAAATTCCTATTTTGCAGCACAGAAATGTCAATTCCTCTGAACAAAATAATATACCAGTACAGTATTTAAGATAAAAAGAAAATAATTCAGGAAATGAGCTATAGTTACTAGTAAATATTCACACCATGTTGTCTGGTGCTAAGTTGATTCACACCTTTCTTTTCAATACATATCCTAGTTATAACACATAATTATCTGCGTGCCTTCGTGCGCTTCAAAAAATTCAGAATGGTGACATATCTGAGAAGTGAACTTAACATTCTCGTGAACAATTGTTGTACCGGTATTATTAATTTCTCGGCAGTTTCCTTATAGGAAATAGTAGGCCTATCATAGCCCTGTCACACTGGACTGCCACCATTTTCAATCTTACTGCCACCAAAAATGGACTTGGACGCCGGGAAATTGTGAAGAAAATATGAGAAAAAGTCCCACAAAATTGCAAATTCTATAACAGTTGCACTCAAACTTCTACTTATGCGACAATATTGTATTCCCAACGCAGGTTCCTAAAAAAATCTATAGGCTTGGTGCATCTCATTTGTATTGCTGTCTGTTTACGGAGATGTGATGACGCTCACGCTTGTCTCAGGACATTCTTGATTTCGTGATGATCCTAATGGCAATTATTGTTGACAATACCACCCAATTTTCCATTGCCGTTTTTATGAGAATTGGAATAACAGCCTCAAAACAGTAGCCAACTGTTATTTTTCAAATGTTTTTGCGTGTTTTGATAAAAATTTAAACAATTTTCAGCCAAAATTTGAGACTTTTTTTAGTTGAAATTAATAGAAGAGCAAAGTGTTTCTTTTCAAGTCAAGTTACAAAAAATTATATTTTTATCAACGCAAATTAGACGCTCTAAGACTAACAGTACTATTCTGTGGCTGATATTCCAATTCTCATAAAAATAATGGAAAGAAATCATTTTTTTTTTCTTTGGTCAGACTGATGACACACCACAATACTAAGCTGATATTATATAATAATTGTAATGTAATGTATTACTAACAGCCTAACATTAATATATAGGTGAACAAAGGATTGATTTAGAGTTAAATCATGCTCATTGTTTAATTAATTGGTGTTTTTAGCGAGGAATTCATTAACTCTTGAGTCTGAAGAAAGAGTGTTGAAGTAGAAAAACGTAGGAATCAATATGAATAAATCCTGATTATAAAAGCTAAAAATAGACTGTTCATGTTTGTCCACGTGAATAAATAATGTCAAGATAGTCTTGTCACAATGTAAAATTATTAGCTAGTTTGAAAACAATATTTTAAGTTAGAAATAATACATTCTGTATGAAGAAAATAAAAAATGATTTGACTTATTTTCTTCTTCAAGCTTAATCTGTTCAATTAGCCTAATCAGTCTACACTACAGTCTGTCCGTGAGGTGTTTGGTTGTGAAGAGACACACATTCAAAGTGACCAATTTCTCTTGTTTGCAAAAAAGATAAAGACTTGAGAATCTCCATGAAAATTAAAAGAAAAATACAAGCTGGTGTTCAGACAAATGTTTTACAGAAAGACACAAACCAATGTAAATGACACTTGTTGTTTACTTGTTGATCAGACAGAATAAATGTTTTACATTTCTAATTTCATATCTATGCATAAGACTAGAATTAGAAATAATTAGAAAATTATGCATGTGAAATTGGTTATTGGTTCAGTGGTTAATTACCTGATTCCAAAATAATCCTCAGGTAAACACTAAACAGCTCAGGTGTTTCCCTTCTCTGCATAAAATTATAACTGTCTGTTTTTGTGTTGCGAAGTGACTCGGATATTTCGTACCACTACATCATTAGGAAAAGAAAAGTATTGACTACCGTAGGTCTATGACACAATCATTATGTTAGGAATGAAGTAGTAAGTACAAAGAATAATCGATAAAATAATGGCCTCAAATCATGATTTTTTTCAGATGTTCTTGCATATTTGTTCATGCGAAAGATAACTTTAAAGCTTGGTAGTCTCGTTTATCCAGTAACTATTTTAAATTTTAGTGATTTTCCAGTCGGAAAGGTAGAGAAATATAATCTCAAATTTATTTGTGATTTTCTTGGTTATTTCCTATGATTGAATTCTATCAACTATGGAAGTTCCTATTATATCATCCCTGCAGAAGATTATTCTGTATGAGTCTAAAATGGTAAGTATAATTTGCCAAATTTCGTTATTTTAACTATCTGAGACGTATCGTTTTAAAAACAATAACAAGACGGGATGGTTCGTGTCATTGTTGTTAGTCCGAAAACTTCTTACAAAACTTCTTAAATGGAAAAGGGAACATATTGTTTAATCTCCAAAACACTAACATTTGCTAATAGAATTTTTTCATAGTATTCAAATTTATAGTGTGATACCTTACTGCCTAGCAGACGACAATTTTAACTCAATTAACAAATCAGTAAAACAAAAGGGAGCTGAATTTTACGTAGGCATATGGTGAATACAAAATCGTATATTGTTCAAACTTTCTGGGAAAATGAAAAAAAAACTGACAAAAACAGGCCAAGAAGTCAGTCCTGAAGTAGGCCTAAGGTTAGGATACCTGATCACCTAACAAGCAGACAAAAGTAACTGTTCACCTTATCAATATCATAGCCTACTGCTCTGGAGATGGTGTCTTCCCACGAAGTCACTGCTAGAAAATTACAAATTCCCATGAAGTCACCGTTTAATTTTCCTTGATGATTTACAGTTATGCCGCTACGGGATTAAAGGTGTTAAGAGCTCATTAACGGTGACATAAATTCATGACAATTGTTCACTATTTAATATTAAAATGACTAATTATCAGTGTCACTCATTGTTTGGCATCTTTGGTATTACCAATGGTTCCATACGATGGTGGGGGATGTTTTTATCGATGTCATGGGTGATATGCCAGACGACCCCAGATTAGTAGAACTTACAGACTACGTTACAAGTCAATGGTTGGACAGTGTTTATGGATTACATGAATGGAACCATTACGGTTCTGACACCTCAAGAAGTAACAACAACTTAGAAGGCTGGCATAGCCGTGTAAAGAAAAAAAGCCCACCCCAACATATTCGAAATTATTAATTTCTTGAAAGAAGAGCAAGATGCCATGGAAATAAGGACGGTGCAGTATGCAGTTGGTCAGCAGCAACCTCCCAAAAAAATGAAAATACAAGACACTTTAATCAAGACATAGCAATAACATAGAACAGTATAGAAATAACGTACTGAATGTATACGAGTTTGCAGATTCTGTATCATATTTGTTAAAACTGAAATAGTAAATGTTGTAAATAAATGAATTAGTTGAAGAATATTGTTAATTGGCAATAACCCGATTACATTGGCTTCAGTGTACACCCAGTAATCCTATTGTTCTCAAAATCCATTTTTTTTGACAAAATTCCCAGGATGTCACCGTTTTTGGTTTCTACATGGTTAATTAAGACCCAAGCGGTGACTTCGTGGGCATGAACCCTGGAGATTGGTGTTTTTAAAATAATTTGCTTTTTGTTTTATTTTTGTCTTTGTCATTTAATTAGATTGATAAATAATTCATGATTGGTCTTTTTTTTATTTCAGCGGTTTTATATTGTTGGGTCTAACGTGACAGAAACTAGATTTCGTGTTTTAAAGATTGATAGAACAGAACCCAGAGAACTTCATATTCAAGATGATAAGGTAAACATTGAAAACAGATGTCCGACTGACTCATAGAAGCACTGGTTATGGCATCAGACTTTTTCTTACTTTGAGGAGTTTTTAAACCTACAGCACCAAATTGCCTAGCAGACGATGATCCAACTCGCTTCTGTTGACCTATTCCTTCATTGCTTTAAAGTTTGATTGAAACAATCAGTGTTGAAAATGAGAAAGTAGATTGTAACATAGCCTACTGGTACTGTTATTATGTTTCAACTAGGACTGTAACAACTAACCAATAAGTGATGAACTTTACAATTCACAATATTAATGCATCTTGTTTTTTGTTGATTACATCTAGAATTACTAGTAAATTGGAAATATATCCTTGAAAGTTTTTGCGTTCATGATTCATGATAGTTGTAGATCAAAAAGTAAACAATGTCCATGCGTGACAATAGATATTTAAAATAAATTAATCAATGACAAATACAAATTTGCACCAATGCAAACAATAATGGCTTGGCAATAGGTGACCAAATGACAAGCCCTAACGAGGTGTCCCATTACTCATATATATTGAATTTGATATATTTCTAGATTGAATATGATAGAGATGAAGTTATCAATGTATTAACTACACTAGATCATGGTAATAGAACTAAAGGAAAGGGAACTGGTATAAGACAAACTTTATCAGCTTATGGTATATTTGGTAAGTATTCCTTGAGAAAGAAACAGAATACAAATCCTTTTTACTATCTTAAATGTTATGAAGTACTTTTTTTTTATTAAGGCATAATATTATACTGTGATCACTTTTACTTCTAAGTATGTCTTTTTAGGTTTTTAGATAAGGGACAGTTGCGCCATTTTTGGTGTTGGATTTAAGTCTTGAATATATATAGGCTAAATAGTCTTCAGAAGTACTAGACATGTACGAAACTTGTCTTTTTAACTTTCTAATGCGGATAATTCTGGACACACATGGATTTGAAGGCTCAAATTTTGACAATGAGCTGTGAAAACTATTACTGATTGGCACGGTTAAAAAATTCATGTTTCTGAGACCAATGTAAGAAAAAATGGCACAACGGTCCCTTCAAAGGTAAAACACTGTGATGTACATTTATGTTTTAGGTTTTGGTGTAAATTTTTATTTTTTGAAAAATTATTTGAAGTTTAAGTTGTTTTATATCAGTGTTATATTATTCTAGGTTAGGTTGCTAATCAGTGTTATATTATTCTAGGTTAGGTTGCTAATGAGTGTTATATTATTCTAGGTTAGGTTATATTTATTTCAGGTTTTGTTAGGTTCCTAGAAGGTTATTATGTAGTTCTAATAACTAAGCGTAGTTGTAAACAGTTAATTGGACCTCATGCTATATATAAAATAGAGGATACTAGTATGGTATATATACCAAATGATGCAGTACGTTATTTCCATCCATTGGAGAGTCGATATGTCAAAATATTTCAAACTATGGATCTGTCCAGTGACTTTTACTTCAGGTAAGTCATTACAGCCTTCATTATTCCATCACATTCAAATATGTTTCATGACTTTCAAATCAACCAATCAGCACACTTCAACGTACAGTTTGTTTTGTAAATTACAAAACACACAAAAAACTCATAGAATTTGAGTAGGAGTAATTGTTGTATGAATTCAGTCCTACAGTATTTCTATTATGAAGGGGTTGTTAAAATGACAGTTGTTTTCAAATTATATTGTTTTCTTTGTTCCATCAAAAAAAAAAAAAGATTCAGGGATATTCCAATTGAATTCTATTGTGTATGCTTCATTAATTCTGTTAAATTTTGGCTTGCGGTTCAGGTACATTCTAATATGTAATTTTCACCTTGTTATTGTTTACCGGTATGCTGTGAAATGTCTTACTAATTGGTTTATATTGTATATTTCAGTTATAGTTATGATTTAACTAATACACTGCAGTATAACATGATACCAGCTCATATACCAAATACTTCTAATAGTGGTTCACAACATAATAACGGTTCACAGCATAATAGCGGTTCACAGCATCATGATGGTGCACAGCATAGATACTGGTAATGTATTTATCTCATATAAGTGTTTCTAGCTGTCAATTGAATACTGTTTAAAAAGGGGTTTCCTGGCCCTTTTATTTATTTCGGTAATACTTACATTTATGTAAGTGTAAGCTTATTTGCATCATTCTGGTTTCCGGTCAGATGTCATTGGATAAACCATCAAGCCTTATAAGGTCTTTTCTATGAAATCTATTAATGATTTTCAGGCAAGAAACTATTGATGATGCAATAGGAATCAAGCAAATGAAAGCTGTAAGTGTTCCCAATGCAAATAAGTAGGCCAGATAACCTCTTTTATATTGTATTCTTTTCAGGGTTCCCAAAGGGGGTCAATTTATGTTTTGAGATAATAACAAAGAAATCTTATCATTAAAAAAGTGCTCAATACATCAATTGTAGAGCAATATAGAAATATTGAAACAGAACCTGAAACATGTTGTTACTTAGACCGAGACATCTGTCTCTATTCTACCCTATGATAGCTATTTATACAGGTGTCTAGATAGTGTAGAGACAGATGAAATAGGCCCTGTAAAATGAGGATTTTCCGCATCTACGCAGGTAGTCAGGTTTTAGATACCTTGGATCTGCAATATATTTGGAAAGATGAATATTTTTGTAGTTTAGTCATACCATTATTTTCTCCCTACACCATTTATGTAACGTCTTCGGTTCCACCATAGAAACTGATCTCACACCCACCATTTAAAACTGTGGTGCATCCAAAAGTTCAAAGGTCACAGAGTCACATGATGCTAACAAAACAAAAGTTTCTGTGACTACAGTCGTTGTAAGGTAATTTGATATAATGTTAGAAAAAACGCATTTTTGGAGGTGTGGAAAATCCCCATTTATTAAGGTATATTTTTTCCGACATGGGAAAAAAAGCCTTTACACCTAAGAAAAAAACCCAAAGAATTTGCTCACCTCATTTTGGAAATTCTGAGACTATTTGTTCCAATATATGTTAATGTATCCAGTTGCATCAAAATTGATTAGATTTGACCATAGAACCAATAGATCAATATAAGTACAAAGTGCAAAGTTTAGGTATATAAAAAACCAACTTTGAAAAAAGACAATTTTCCAACAAAAAACAAATTTGCTCACCTCATTTTGAAAATTCTGAGAATTTTTAGTTCCAATATACTGTTGGCAATACTTGATTGTGTGGTAATGTTGAAGTAAACAGGTAAAATGATATCGTGATGTCTGCTCAAATGATTATTGATTTCTCTAGAAGATTTAATATGTTATAAGAAAGACATATATATCAAACATTTATCATTTATGGTTTTTAGATAGGTCATTTTAAACAGCGTGTCATAGAGACAAATATTGTTTCCCTTATATAATCTTCTATGTTTTTATATCTATGTTGAAACAATTCTTTAAAGATGGGTTCCTTTATTTTCATTAATGAAAATGAAAATACTTAAATGAATAGAAAGTAGAGGTGTTCTAATGACTTGGAAAAATACCAGTTTGTCTCACATGTTCATAATTAATTCATCTAAATTAGTAGAGAATTTCCAGCAGAATGAGAGACCGATCAAGAAAGGTCAAAAAGTCATTGGTTCATAACCAAACCACTTGGCATTGATTGTATCTGAATTATCTGTACCCTAGCCATTTACAGTCGGCTCAACTGGAATACAAAGATGATTTAAAGGTCCTTATAGTGGTTTAGTCATTGCATTGTGTATTGTGTAGGTCTTCTGTTTATTGTCCCTGCTAAACAATTAGACAGTTTTTCCATGTCAATTTCGTAGACCTGTATCATCAACAGAAAAGGGGTTGAAAATATCAGATATCATCGTGATATATGTGGGAGTTAAACCTAGGAGCCCTTGGATATGGCCACGTCCCACTGGAAAGGCGTTCTTACTGCACTGCTACTGTGACTAAAAATTGGCTATTAGTTGGTGTTAGTTTTCCTCATGTTTGACCACAACCTAGTTCATTTCCAGTTTTATGGAACAACAATCACTGGTTAAAGTTTTATGCAATGTTTCGACGTGTTTCCTCCGTCAGGACGACGGGAGAAACACGTCGAAACGTTGCATAAAACTTTAACCAGTGTCTTTAAGATGTGTCTATATATTTTCTAATATTGATGAGTAAAATTCAAGTTTGAGTTCAATCAAGGAAATGTCTCATATGTGTTTATAACAAAATCTAAAATCACTCTATGGAGACAAGGTGGTCAGCAAGATTGTTTGCTTATAGTCCTGTCACACCAGTCTGCACATGTGCCTGAGGACGACGGGGGAAACACGTCGAAACGTTGCATAAAACTTTAACCAGTGATTGTTGTTCCATAAAGCTGTGTCTATATATCGTACTCACAATTGCTAAATGCCATTCAAAGACAATATTAGAAAAGTCATCAAGGGACAGGTGGGCCATTATGGGGGTTTGATTTTAATCTTCAATATATATAAATAGTCTTCAGAAGTATTAGAAATGTATGAAAATCGCACGATTCCTTTAAAAATACTTCAAACTAGGAATTTTACTCACTATTCCTCTACATGTTTTTTCTATATATCACAGAGTACCGGTATCTTAAATTGACGAGTCGTCATTTTAACATTCAATTGTGGATAATTCTGGAAAAACATCGATTTGAAGGCTCAAATTTTGACGCTGATCTTTGAACATTTTAACTGATTAGCTTAGCTAAAAATGTTATCGTTTCTTAGACTAGATAAACCTTAATGTACTTTTAACAGTGTTATTTATATTTGTATAAAAATTAAATGATAATGTCATTGTGTGAAAGAGAACTCTAAACAATACATTTGAAATATGATACTGAAATTAAAATGAAGAAAGAAATAGACACAGTCATTGTGTTCAAACCACTAAGAGAAGACATTTTCTAATAAGAAGATTTTTTGTTTCCATGGAAACCTTTCAAATGATTTCTGCCATACAATGATATAAGAGTAAGAGAGTGCTAATATATGAAGGTTATTTTTATTTGCCTACACAATATGCATGAATACCGGGTATTTGTTGCCTGTTTACAGAAGGCGTCTGCTCTAAAAACAAATTAGGAAATACACTGTTATCCATCGAAAAAGAATCACACTGTCTGACAGGAGACAAGAACAGGACTCTTTAACACCATTCTGTTTGCCTGTCATTTCTTCATTGTCAATGTTCCAAAGACTTTGAAACTAGAACTAATGAAAATAAGTACCAACTGTAGCTAAATTTTGATTTTAGTTACATATTGCAACATTTCTACTATAATGAAAGGGACCGATTGACTATTTTGGGGTGTTTAATTTTATATATATGTAAATAGTCTTCAGAAGTACTAGAAATATATGAAAATTGCATAATTCCTTCACAAATAGCTCAAACTAGGAATTTCTTTTCCTCATAGATGTCTTTTCTATTATGACAAAGTCTCAAGAAAAGACAAGTTGCATTATCTGACTCAAATTTCAATGGTGAGCTGAGAACACTATTACTGATTGGCTTATCTAAAAAAATTCACTTTTTTGAGACTAATGTACGATTGGTCAAACTATTTCAGGAAATTGTTTCATATGCAATTGCATACTTTTAAAAAAAAAGTCTATAATGAGATGTTATAATTAAAATGTTTTTTATTTTTTTTTTATTTAGTTATTGGTGTCAGAGGACAGCCATCATGGAAGTTTGTGTGGAATCGTCATTTGTTGAAAGGATACTGGGATGTGGTTCATACTGATTGGGTGTTATTTATAACTCATGGTTTCATTGGACAATGCAGTATCCTTTTGAATAATATCTTCACAGAATAAGCTTTTTTTGATATCTTCAAATTTCATACTGACTTTTTGTAGAATCTGCTAAACCTCAGAATATTTTATTGATACTTCTTCAAAACCTCGGTTTTTAGCTTTTAAAAAACGTAAAATAAGCAAAATCTTAAAACCTTGGTGAACTTTCTAGCCTTTAAAACTCTCACTTTTACAAAACCTCAGTGGAATTACAGCATTTTCAAAACCTTATTAACACTGTAGTTTATTTAGAAAATAAAATTTCCAGCATTTTCAAAATTAAAATGTATATATCTACTGATGAATATATGCTCTTATTAAGTTTAAATTCTTAAATTTTATGTTCATTCTAAGACGTAGTATGCCCATGATGTTTGCCGAATTTTAGAACTATTCTCTCAAATCTCAGTGAGATCGGTCTGACCTGTTTTTAATTGGACAATCCAATATAGTATAGTATATAATATTTTAATTAATCTTCTTTCCTGAACAGTTGTTAAGAACTAGATGTTTATGGTAAACCTATCTATATAACATTAATAGGAAGACGATCTAATCAATATGCTGGAACCAGATTTTTAAAAAGAGGGTCAAACTGCAAGGTAGGATTAAAATGTAGATCTAGATGTTTGTTTGCAAAATTATTACACAAGGCAGTTTGTATTGAAACTTTCTAAGCCTTTGTATTTGCATCCACAACACTTAAAGGGATTGTAAAGAGGTTTTACCTGCATCATTTCCGGTTAACTCTTTCTGGAATTGCAGGAACTACAGTCATCGGACGAAGAATTGGAATGTCCCAAATAGAAGTTATCCCTTTGAACCCTGAGTGTAAATAAAATATAACATCATATACCCTGAACTCCAAGTGATAAAAGTAAAAGCGTATGACGTTAACATTGTATACCAGCTGCTCGGGTATATATTACGTTAGTGTGTGGCTGGTATACCAGCCGCTAGGGTTGAAAGGGTTTAATTAAGGTGTCCCAAATACACATAAAAAGGCAAGAAAACTTCTTGACAATCCCTTTAAAACACTTCTAAAGGTTGCTAAAGGATCTATCATCTGATCTAAGATCAAGATCTATATCATGCTGCAGACACATGTTTTTAGTGTAGATTTATACATCCCTCGTCAGGACAGCTAGTTTGGAAATGTGGCTTACTTGAACCTGTTTATTATTTCAGGGAGCTGTAGCAAATGAAATAGAAACAGAACAGATTGTACATGATGGATCAAGAACATTTCTTGATAAAGGTTGTATTTCATCCTTTACTCAAGTACGTGGATCAGTACCTTTAAGTTGGTCACAAGATGTTGTCAAGATGGTACCTAAACCAGCAATTTTGAGTAAGTAATTCATTTCTAGTTTATCATAGAATACCCCTGTAATAAGGCTTGACATTACTTATAAATATGCTTGACATTACCTTTAATAAGGTTTGACATTGCCCTAATTATTCTTACATTATCTTTAATAAGGCTTGACATTGCCCTAATTATTCTTGACATTATCTTTAATCAGGTTTGACATAGCCCTAATTATTCTTGACATTATCATTAATTAGGTTTGACATTGCCCTAATTATTCTTGACATTATCATTAATTAGGTCGAATTTTTCCAAAAATCTGAAGCTTGACATTAACTAATAGGCTTTATATTAATTAAGATATTACTCTAATTGGCTTTGACTTTGCAACATTTATTTACCATTACTTGACACTGTCTCCTACTAGGTTTAACACAATCTTTAAAATGCCTGACATTATCATCAAATAGATCTTGGACCAATTTAGTTGATTGCAAAATTGCCTTAATTGGAATTAAGATGGCTTGACATAGCTGCCTTACCTTGACCTTACCTTCCCGAAAGCATGATAATGTTAAACAAAATGTTATTTATTCTTACAGTGGATAAACGAGATCCATATGCTGAAGTCGCTGGTTTACATTTTAATGGTTTATTGAAGAGATATGGAGCCCCAATTATAGTCCTAAATCTAGTCAAGGTAAGAATATAAGACAACTGTTTAAAAATAAATGCAACCCATTTCAGTGATGCCTGTAAAAGGAGCTGAAGTGGAAAAGCGTCTAGTCTAAGTGTGCCTCAGAATGTGTTGAAAGATCTCTCAAAAAAAAAACGAAAGGCTAATGGTGTTGAGTTCCATTGCAGACTGCAATTAGCCAAATCAGATGCAGATCAGTAGGACATTAATCTCTACAATCATATAATATAATATAGTTTGATTTCTATTACAGAGAAGAGAAAAAAGAGCACATGAAAGTATATTGAAGGAAGAATTAATGGAAACAATCAAATATTTAAATCAGTTTCTACCACCACAACATGCTTTACAATATATAGGATTTGATATGGCCCATGTTAGTAAAAGGTTAGTAAAATGAAATTCATCCTCTGATGCAGGCACATGTTAGTACAAGGTAAGCAAACTGAAGCTTATCTCTTTCTGCTGACACATGTTAGTAAAAGGTTAGTAAACTGAAGCTTATCTCTTTCTGCTGACACATGTTAGTAAAAGGTTAGTAAACTGAAGCTTATCTCTTTCTGCTGACACATGTTAGTAAAAGGTTAGTAAACTGAAGCTTATCTCTTTCTGCTGACACATGTTAGTAAAAGGTTAGTAAACTGAACCTTATCTCTTGCTGCTGACACGTGTTAGTAAAGGTTAGTAAACTCAAGCTCATCTCTTGCTGCTGACATGTTGGTAAAAGGTTAGTAAACTCAATCTTATCTCTTGCTGCTGACACATTCAGTAAAAGGTTAGTAAACTCAAGCTTATCTCTTGCTGCTGACACAAAAGTAAAAGTTAGTAAACTGAAGCTCATATTCTGTTGCCAACACATGTTGGGGTAGTAAAAAGCAAAAATATGACATCTTAAAAGACAATCATCTATTAATACAGACACAGATTCTTTGCAGATTGCATCTGGATTTTTATTTCAGGAAAAATGGTGATGTTCTAGTCAGATTAGCTAAAATAGCTAAATATTGTATAAAACAAACAGGATTCTACCTCCACTTACCACCAGGTTGTAATGGTAGTATCAAACATGATGAAAGGTAGCTAACTCTAGAATATTTTTGATTTAAAGATAGAAATTAACATTACAGAATGTTTTGTTAAAATCAATCAATATCTCTTGATACAAATTTTAGCTCATACAAGTTATGACCTTTGGTAAAATTGTGGGTCTGTTTTGACTATAACAGTCGAAAGCATGAAAATTTTAGCCAGAAAACTGTAGTCTAAATCATTAAGGTCTTAGTGCCATGTTAAATTCTCAACCTGAAGACTATTTCTTTGGAAGCTATCCTTAAGGATTAAGGCTTTTAAACCTGAGCCAAATGACTCAGTCAGTCAGTCAATGGTGCACAACAGCTGTTAATTTGCTAAGCATCGAGCAGCCACCACAAAACTTGGCCACTAATACAGACTTAGACTATCCATACTACGGAAACAGCAGATACTATAGTAAGGAGTCCGTGTTTGGGATTTATAGGATCAACAGAATGTTCAATAAAAGAAAAAAAAGTTCATAACGCGTTGTATGTATGCCGAAAAAAACAAAGTAGGTGCCAACGGAATTCAAAATGGTGGAGAACTAGTACCACCTTTAACTTCTGCTATATCAGTTATGATATATTTTTTAGATTAAAGAGTTTAAATAATAAATGGACTATAAATGGATGTAGACAGAATGGAACAGTAAGAACTAACTGTGTAGATTGTTTAGATAGAACTAATACTGCACAATTTGCTGTTGGAAAATGTGCTTTAGCTTATCAGGTAAAACTCAGACTGAATTTTCAGGAATCCATGCAGATCTCTCATTCTCTGTAGCACAATTGAAGCTGACATTGCCTTGTGGTGCCATGCATATTGTGATATATTGCAGAAAATTGCTGTCTCCTTTGTTGCATTTTGATTGCGTAGATTTTTGACAAATTTTGGTTGTAGGTAGAGTGGTGATCTATACGCTTCATTTGAACCAAAGTTCTGTCATTGATGAACAACTGATACTTGACAGTCGGAACATTATGTTTTTTCTTTGAAATTTATGATTGACTTTTTTGTATACTATACTATTATCTGAACCAATCAAACGATCTCACAATCACTCAAAGCTGTCAAATTATGCAAAGCTTAACAGAAAAAAACACAAAGTAGTAACCATGACAACATGTACTATTTAATAGTATGAACATGTGTTTTATTTTCTAGTTATACTGTTTAGGAGTAATAGAAGAAACAGAATTAGATTTTGATACAGATTGTGTAAGGTAAGCTAAGGCTTGATTAAAAATCAGTAAGAGCATTGTAAGAGCCAATGATAGAAATATCATCTAGACTTCCTTAAAAGAATGATCGTTTAGCTGGGAAATATGATGTTCAAATAGAATGGGGTTTATCGAATCAACAGGACATTCAATAAAACAAGTTGGAACAGAGTTCATAACATGTTCCACATTATGCTGAAACGATAGTAAGCGCAGACAGAATTCAAAATGGTGGAGAAAGGAATAGTAAAGAAAATTTTGAATGCAAAATAATCTGGTTCTGTACCGTTTGGTTGAGGCCAGAATTGAAACAGACGGAACCTGTTTAAAACTCTCCAATCGATCACCACCATGCATTAGTCAACTTCCTGTTATTCAGAGTTATTTCCCTCGTATTACAGAATGTTAGAAATGTTATATGAAGATCATGGTGATACGGTAGCATTACAATATGGTGGCTCTCAGCTAGTTCATCGTATTAAAGGTTATCGTAAAATAGCACCCTGGACAGAACATTCTAGAGATATCATGCAAACATTGTCCAGATATTATAGTAACGCATTCTCAGGTAGGCTGCTATAAAAATACTAATAGTAAATAGTAAAATTTGGTATGACGAACTGACTTGACAAAACAAAATTGGATTTCAAACAGTGCTATAATTTGAAGCAATTTTTGCATACAGGGCATTTGAGACACACAAGAAGCATTTAAAGTAGGTACAGAGGTAAGACAATCAAAAGACAGAAAAGCACACAAGACAACATGAATAAGCACAGGAGGCCTTTCAAATAGATACGCAATGCATTGAAAATGAATATGAAATTTATGGAGTTTACGTCTTATTTTTTCTGCACCATGTGTGCTAATGAAGACGGGCAGCCATGCAAGGTACATCGAGGGAAATTTTGTCAGGACTGCAGCATTAGTGTGCACTTTTTCGATTCTCAACTGATCTTTAACATGCACAGCCTGTAGAACAAGGGAACTCAGTTTATTGTCCCATCCATACTAGAAGCTTTTTTCATGTCAGCCCCTCTTACCTGCATCACTGATAGGGGGGAAAAGGGGTTGAAAAATCTGAAGGTATTATCTTAACCTATGCTGGGATTAAACCCTGGACCTTCAGGTTAGCGAGCAAGCATCTAACTCACTGAGCCACTGCAGCCCCACCCAGGTTTAAAAAGACACAAGTATAGATGTCCTATTACAATGTATGTATTTACCAATCATGTAAGTACTATTACAAAGTACATTTACTAACTTATTGATTGGTTTATTTCGGTTGTAGATTTAGAAAAACAACAAGCTATCAATTTATTTCTGGGTATATTTGTACCACAAGAAGATAAAGCTAATATATGGGAACTGACAACAGATTACTATTTACATAATAATAACTGTACCAAATTATTGGGAAACTGTAGAAAACTGTAAGTTGAAAAAAAAGTTGAAATTTTCCATGTCCATCTCTTTTGTTATTTAGTGTTGTTAAAGGGATTGTAAAGAGATTTTCTTAATTTATCGGGAACACTGATAGCATCAATTTGCATCATTCCAATTTTCAATAAGACATCTGTGTTTCCTGCAATTCCACTAAAACTAAGCATTTTATGAAGTCCTTATGTGTTAAAGTATTTTTCGCATTTAGTAACGTCATCAAACACTTAGATTTGATAGAATTGCAGGATGCTATCAGTGTCCCTGATGCACATAAAATTTTTAGAAAACCTCCTTACGATCCCTTTAAGGAGAATTTTGGTTATATTAGCAGCACCATTCAAGTGAAGTATTTTGGAAGTTTGTAAAATGTTTGGTTATTTGTATTATTTATTATAGTTTTATTATATAAAATTTCAGATATTCTCAATGGTGGGATAATTGTGTGATTGAACATTTGCCTTTCTCTGCTGATGAAGGTAACAAAGACTGATCTTTTAATATGCTATATTTCGTAATAAATTCTGCGAAAATAAATACACGTTTTTAAGGGACATGCCAAACTTGATGACCTTGTCTGAAAGTCTAATATTCCAAACAGGCATAAGTGGAATTTTGGTTAACCTTGTTACCTTATAATTAAGAAAAGTTAAAGCTAGCTTAACAGTACCAGATTATCCAGTACACTGTTTAAGAGTAACATCATATTCCACCTTTTGTTTTGATATTTAATTATCTCTTTGTGATTATTGCAATTCACATGAAATTTTGGTACCTTATATTGCTGTATGTTAAATGCATTGAAAATTTGTTGTTGTTAATGTACTTTAATTTTTATATAGAGATGAAGAAAGATTGTTTATCAGTGTGTCAAACTAGTCTAGATGATGAAAGAGTCAATGAATTTGATGAATATTATAAACCATGGACGTTAACAATTTTAGAAGATTTAACTTGTTTTAAGTTATCTAATTCTATGAGGTAATTTCACTAATTTCAAATAATGGTAGAGAATGTCTTGTAAGCAGGGCATGTTCTCTCTTCTAGAACACTGAACAATACTATGGAATGGGATTTTCAACTGTGTTCCCCTATAGAGAGTCTTCAATCAAATTATGTGTTATTATTTCTACAGTCAAAATATTTGTAATTATTTCTACAGTCATAACAATTGTTATTATTTCTACAGTCAAAATATTTGTAATTATTTCTACAATCATAACAATTGTTATTATTTCTACAGTCAAAATATTTGTTATTATTTCTACTACAGTCAAAACAAAATATTTGTTATTATTTCTACTACAGTCAAAACAAAATATTTGTTATTATTTCTACAATCATAACAATTGTTATTATTTCTACAGTCAAAACAATTGTTATTATTTCTACAGTCAAAATATTTGTTATTATTTCTACAATGAAAAAAAAATATTTGTTATTATTTCTACAGTCAATTTATCTAACCTTTTCTTCAGGAATTTCATGCAGAAAGGCACTGGAACTAAAGAAATGAGTCCATTTACTGTTCGAGTTTTACCAACACATATAACAGATTCAGTCAATCTTGGGTGAGTTTATAAATTCTTTAGCTTTAACAATTCCCTATAGCTTACTATTATTTTTTGTAGCTTTCTTCTTCTAATCACTCTTTATATTTCTTATACTAATACTAATATGTTTGTATATCCATATTTTCATGATTAGCCACAGTATAAATCTACAGACTTTTAAGAATATTTTTTGCACATCCATGCACATTCAAAACATAAACAAGACAAGATCATTTCACAAGTTATACAGTCAAGTAGTAATTGCAAGGAGACATTCACAGCTCAATTTAAAGGGATTGTAAAGAGGTTTTCTGCATTTTCAATGTTATGAGAACACTGATAGCATATTTGTTCCTACAATTCCACAACAACTTACTATTTGATGACGTCACTAATCGCAAAATATGATTTAGTGACGTCATCAAACACTTACTTTTAGTAGAATTGCAGGAACCACAGAGGTCTGATTGTAATTTGTAATGGTGCAAATTGATGCAATCATCGATACACATACAAAATTTATAAAACCTCTTTATAATCCCTTTATATTCAAAAATATACTACAAAATAATAAAAGTTCATATTATTATCAATGTGCATATTCGTAACAAATAAAAAATCAACATTAAAGAAAAATAGAAATCAACCTTTAAAGGTGACATCCCAGAAAGATTGTATTTATATAATGCTTCAAACTCGTGGCTCAAATATTGTATTTGATTCAAAGAATGTATTAAAAAAAAAGTTTGTACAATTCTGCATCAATTCTGTCAAAACACATTCTCAATCTAAAACTATCAAAGCAATCACCATCAAGTAAATAAATATTATTCAAGTCTATTTATTCTAGTCAATTTATCGAATTATCCAGAAGCTTAAAAAAGTAAAATTGAATTATATTTGGTTTTAAGTCAATATAACTTTTTTTCAAATCTTTTCTTTACATAATTGAAAACTTAAAGTGATACTACTCTTAGAATGAATATAAAATTTAACTTCTTAAAAAGGTCAATATGGGTATATATTCATCAATGAACTTACCTGGTATCATAAAGTTACAACAAATTCCCTGTAAAATCTGGAAAATTCATAAAAATTAGTAATTATTGAAAAAAACTTAATTTTGATATTAATAAAAGGGTTTGTCAATAGTTAATTGCATATTTATGGATAATTACTGAGTTTTTTGGATTTATCAGATTATATTAAGGATCCTGTTATGTTATTGATGACACCAGGTATATCTACTGGCTCTTATTCGCCAAGTTTAAAATTCTTAAATTTTAAGTTATTTCTTAGACCTAGTATCACTTTAAAGGAGACATTTCCTGAGTGTTATACATGTATATTAGCACATTTACTTCAAGATTTATTATAGCCAGTAATTTGGCATCTGTTTTTTCTAGGCTGTCACCTTTTAGGATAAATAGTTTGTGCTTTGTATTCATTAACCTATTAGGTACAGAAAAGTAAGACGTAAATCTCCATTCATTTCAATTCATTTTGTCATTGTATGCAACTGTTCTGTTATAATTGCTGCTTGTTATCACTAAAGAGATTGTAAAAAGGTTTTCAAAATTTTTTATGCGTATCGGGGACACTGATAGAATCAATTTGTACCATTCCAATTTTCAATTAGATGTCTTTTGTTCCTGCAATTCTACTAAAACTAAGTTTTTGGTGATGACACTAATTGGAAAACATGCTTTTCGGGATTAGTGACATCATCAAACACACACTCTAATGCTATTGATGATGGATGCCTCATTGATAACAGCAGGGTGTCAAAACTCAGAAGAAAAAATTATTATCATATATCATAATAAAAGAAAACAATTAAATTATGATTGTTATATAAGAGAATTTTAATTTGCTATGAAGAAATACTCAGGAAAAAATAAGTTTACGTCTTAATAAATACGCATTAATGTCAAAATTCATAATGTTGGTGTACACCAAAAAAAAAATAATTATTTCAATTCATCATCTTATTGTTATACAGTTTCTGACAAAAAGTCTTTGATTTCTAGAAACATCAGAATTCAAGAAAATATTAACTATGAAATCTAGCATCTAATTGTAATATGCTATCTTCAAGAATGACGAAAAAATTGAAATTTATAAACTTCGCCAAAATGGGTCTTTGTTGATCATCAGTAGACTTGAATCCATAAAATTAACTAATGATTCATTAGTTTAAGTAATTTTGAAACATGTTTAGAAGTGTGTTATATGTGCTATAGAGATTCTATTCTTTAGTCATGGCACCTGGTAAGTCCAACTGATAAATATATACACTTGTTAACCAAGTTTGAGAATTTTATGTCCATTTTAAGAGGTAGTATGCCTTTAACTGATCACATCTGGTGTTTGTGTCACCAAATGATCATTGTCCTGATTTTCATTGTAATTAAGCAGCCTTCACAATAACAATTTGGTATATTTTTCCTATACCTTAACCCTTTTAACAGTAGCAGCTGCTCTATCAGTCATTGCTCTACCAGACATTGCTCTACCAGTCACTGCTTTACCAGTCATTGCTCTACCAGTCACTGTTCTACCAGTCACTGCTTTACCAGTCACATAGTTTTGTGATATAACCATGTCACATAATGTTAAATTACCAAATATCACAGTTATAAAGTTATAAATTAATATATACCAGTATTGAAACTTTGAAGATAATATGTTAATTTCTATACCATTGCCCCGTTATTGTGATATATCGTGGCATGATTGGCTATACCCAGCACTACTAGCTTTTAAAGGGATATCTTTTCTTTGGCAATGATCTGTACCTGATTATCATTTTACCACTTGATGGACTAGAATAATGAGAAAATACCGTAGTATTTATTCTAAGTCATCAGAATCAGAATTTGAGAAAATTAAAACCATCAATCTGGATGTAATCAAGCACATTTTGTCATAATATTGTCAGGCCTTTAACGGGTTCATTTATATTGCTTGGTGCTATGGTGGTAGCTGTAAGAAGATATTATTCCGCTTTTTGCAGTTTGGGCTAACATGGAAAAGGTGTGAAGTGTAACATGGTCAAGTTACAGATCACATTACAAAAGTTTTTTTTCTAATTTCAAACTGCATTGTGTGGCCCATCTTCCTTAACCAAATTAGAAGCAAACTTATATCAAATTTTTTTTTGTTATTGAACTTAAAGGGGCATTCCTATTTTATTGGAAAACATTTTCATTATCAAAAACATAAATTTTACCTGAAAATATTTCTAAAATATGCTATTAATATCTATGTATCTTCTTGATCAAACTGAATTTGTTTTGAAAAGGTAAGGTAAAAACAGAGTACTAATTGTTAATTAAGCAGTTTGACTTAGTTTTTTATACCTTCAGAAGCATTAAGGGACACATTTCTCTAGATATTGGTGTATAGTTTTCACAAATTTCAGCAAAAAAAAGCGGAATGTCCCTTTAATATTCTTTAACTAACCTCTCCCCTCATTTTTAATATAGCCTATTTTTAGATTTTCTCCTCTTTTGTTTTCTCTGCATGCTCAATTTTATTTTCCAGATATGCTACCTTTAAGAGAAGCCTTAGTCTTGCTAGTCTTTCTTTGACTTCAAGGTTTGTTTTAGACTCTCATTTCATGAGTTACCCCATATATAATCATGCTTTTCTATTTTATAAACAAGATTATTTGAAGATTACCCAAAGATTCTACCCAATTTCGTTATGCACAATTTTGCGAAAAGCCAACTGTTTCGTTATCACTTTAAAACACCAGACCCAAACTATTCCTTTAAAACCTTTAATGCACTGCTGCTAATTTACAACATATTTTTTGTTCATAAAAGAAATATATCAGACGAAGGAAAATCATTTCATTAAAAATTATTTCCTATTGCAATTCCCACAGCATCACATTATTATGTCTTTATTTCTTTATAAAAATGATCTAGACTCAATATTTTGTTATATTATTATAAGACATTGGTGATTGTTGAGACAGTTATATTATTGTCAAAATTATTCTTTTTTATTTGTTTCATTTCCATTTCTTATGCAATTTCCAAAAACATTGTATTTTCATTTTTCCAATCTTATGGAACATGTTGTAAAAGTGCAAATAGAGGAGGTATGCTGTCCAGTGCAGTATGGAATTTTTGATACAGTACCAATTACAAGAAACGAATCGTGTCCGCACCTCGCAAGTCCTGTACCTCCAGTTGTTCTATTGTCATTTATACTGATAATTCCTCACCGAACACCGTATCTTGTCTATTTGTGGCTTTAATCAGGATTTTTATTTAGTGGAGAAGTAAAAGATATAGCCTGTGTTGCTATCTTTAATATTTATTGCAGATCCTTGTCTAAATCGAAATATAAACAAACGCAGTCCACTCTTGTTTATGTTTTGGATCATCTCTGAATCTGATTGTATTAGACAAAAAACTAGGTAATTTAATCTGTGAAATTAATAAAAATAAAATCCTATCAGATTAAACATTGTGATGTCATTTTTCAATGTTGTTGATAAATGTAAAGTTTAACAATTTTAAAGGTAACCTTGCATACATCAAACTTTTCAAGAAATTTACTTACTTTGTAGGTTTGCTTTATTTATTAATGGATTCTGTTTTTTTTTTTAGATGGGGGCTACCCTATACATTCCAAATTCCTTAAAATACAATATAAGTGAAAACAAGGACCTTTATGGCTTTTGTAAGAGTTTGATTCTTAAAGGGATTATAAAGAGGTTTTCTAAATTTTGTATGTGTATTGGGGACACTGATAACACCAATTTAAACCATTCCAATTTTCAATCAGATGTCTGTGGTTCCTGCAATAATTGTTTTTATGATGTCACTATTCGCAAAACATCCCTTATCACATAAGGCCATTCATGATAAGTGATGTCATCAAATACAATTAATTTTCTGAAAATTGAAAATTGGCATGGTGCAAAAGATGCTATCAATGTTCCTGATACACACAAGAAAATGAGAAAACCTGTTTACAACCATTATAAATAGGTTCATGCAATCTGTAGACTTGTTTATTCAATGTATTGTTTATTGTACTTTAAAACCTAGACAAATGAACTTCTATTTCCGAGGAGACTTGTTTGATGTAAATTTTTATACTTTGAAAACGGTAGTTCTAACAAGTACATTATTTTAAAGAGATACAACCTCTTAGAATGCACTTAAAATTGAATTTCTCGAACTTGGCCAATAAGAGTATATTATATTCATCAGTGGAATAACCTGGTGATAATTATAACAGAAACCCTCTATCTGATGAATCCATAAAAGCATTTTTCAATTATTACTTAGTTTTATGGATTTATTAGATTATAGAGGGATTCTGTTGTATAGTTATGACACCATTTAAGTCCACTAATGAATTTAAGCTTACTGTAAATTTTATGTTCATTCTAAGAGGTATCTAGTTGGGATTCAAAAGAGGCTTGATATAATTTATGAGAGACACTTATAGCTTCTATATACACCTATCAAACTGTAGTTTGTGATAATGGACCAATCAGCTAAGACATGTACTGGTTTTTGCAGCAGTACCACCATTGTAATAGGGGTAATTGGATCAATGCAAATAGAATATTAAGACTAAAGACCCAATTTGATATTTTGCTGAAAAGTTTGGCTAAAAGTCAGGTTAAATTTTCCAAATCAAACAATTCACAATAAATGATGGTTCAAAAATGCTGAAAACTGGTAAACTTTTAACAAATTTATATACAAATAAAAGTTTATGATTTTTTAACCATATTGAATTCATGAGTTATTTTTTATCTTGAATTTCCATAAAAAATATATTCAGTTATAGCATGTCCGCCATGTCTAAACAGAACTGTTTTTTAATATATTTTTATATCTTACATACCACAACCTCAGCAGATTATTATAGAACATCAGCTGGAAATGGCTGGCACATCTGATCATAGCAATGATTCTTTAGAATTCTATTCTCAGGGAACTCAAAAGATTTTTTCTAGCCTTTGTAAATGTGGTGGAACACTTGTGGCTTCTATATGTACCATTCCTATTTTCAGTCCAATGTAGCTCTTTCTGCAGACAAATTGTTACTCAAATCAAAAACTTGTATAAACTGGTCCTGTTTTTCTGACAGTACAGCAAACACATCAAATGAAATGGTGCCAAATGAAGCCAAAGTGTTCCTGATTAATGTACAAAGGCAGGAAAAAATCTTTGAATCCATTCAATAATGCTATAATAATCTGAAATAATAAGATTTTACTGTCTATAATTCTTCTGTGATTTAAACAGATATTATTAGAGTGTCTGAAGTTTCAAAGTCTTTGATTCTTTTATTGTACTTTTAAGGGTGCTTAGTCAGCTTGAATTTTATTCACAGAGCCACTATGGTTCATTTTGATTTGCATATCTCAGAAACATTTTAGTAATTGTACTGAGTACCATTTTTTTGTCAAAGGTTATAATTAACAAGATTATGTTACCATATTGTATCCCAGTATTTGTTATTGTGGTAGTGGTAAAGATTGCTATCATGTGATAGACAGTATAATAATAGTACAATTAACAAGATTATATTACCATTGTATCCCAGTATTTGTTATTGTGGTAGTGGTAAATATCTTACTGGTAAAGATTGCTATCATGTTATAGACAGTATAATAATAGTACAATTAACAAGATTATATTACCATTGTATCCCAGTATTTGTTATTGTGGTAGTGGTAAATATCTTACTGGTAAAGATTGCTATCATGTGATAGACAGTATGATAATAGTAAAATTACCAAGATTATGTTACCATTGTATCCCAGTATTTGTTATTGTGGTAGTGGTAAAGATTGCTATCATGTGATAGACAGTATAATAATAGTACAATTAACAAGATTATATTACCATTGTATCCCAGTAATTGTTATTGTGGTAGTGGTAAATATCTTACTGGTAAAGATTGCTATCACGTGATAGACAGTATAATAATAGTACAATTAACAATATTATGTTACCATTGTAACCCAGTATTTGTTATTGTGGTGGTGGTAAAGATTGCTACCATGTGATAGACAGTATAATAATAGTACAATTAACAAGATATTACCAATGTATCCCAGTAATTGTTATAGTGGTAGTGGTTAATAACTCTCCTGGTGCTATTGGTATATATTGGTGATCAAGTGATAGTATGACTATAATATTAATATTACGGTTCCATTATTATTGCAATGTTGGTTTTAATGGTAATGGTGTGATATCAGAGCTGGTATTGCTATCAAGTGATTGATAAACTACTATAGTGGTGGTGGTCCTAATATTAGTGGTAAACATTGCTATTGCATATAAAACACTAAATTATAGAATTATGTAATGGTCTTTTCCAGTATTGACTAGTGGTAGTGGTAAAATCCCTAATAGTGGTAAATAATATACTGTTATGTTATGATCTATTTCAGTGTTGATTATAGTGGTAGTGGTAAGAATCCTAACAATAGTGGTAAACTATATACTATTATGTTATGATCTATTTCAGTGTTGATTATAGTGGTAGTGGTAAGAATCCTAACAATAGTGGTAAACTATATACTATTATGTTATGATCTATTTCAGTGTTGATTATACTGGTAGTGGTAAGAATCCTAATATAAGTGGTAAAGATTCCACTATGTCTGTAGGATCAGAAGGTAGTACTAGTAGTAGTGATGATAGTGATGTAGAAGGAGAGATGTGTTTATCAGATTCTACTAGTGAATGTCATAGTGATGGGGAATCCAGCTATATCTCCCTACAGGTTTGTGCCAACCATCTTAACAGTTAACCCTATCCTAACCAATTCCAACCTTCTTAACAGTTAACCCTAACCTAACCAATTCCAACCTTCTTAACAGTTAACCCTTCTCTAACCAATTCCAACCTTCTTAACAGTTAACCCTAACCTAACCAATTCCAACCTTCTTAACAGTTAACCCTTCTCTATGAATGTTGCATTAGCTTGGAGAATTAGCGCATGTTTCTTCCATGGAAGACAAGCAAGAATTTTTAGCCTTTTTTTGATGCAGGTTGCTGTGAGACAGTGTGCTGTGATCAAGCTTCTCTCATTGCACACTGCAAACCCTCTTTAAAAGCCAAGGTAATAGACTATGAAAATATGTTTTTCAGGACATCTTTCCTTCCATGAAAACAGTATATAAATATGATATATCAGAACCTTCTAAACGAGATCAAAACTTATATCAAAGGTGAGGTATATTATTTTAAATGTATTGTGTGTAGGAAGCTGCACAGTCATCCACAAAGAAGCAAGGAATCTTAAAAGCAAAACTTAATTATGTTGTTTCATATTAAAATAGTCCAGATCATATCATTTATTATCACACAACAGTACTGTACTCGGTTCATAACACAAGTTTATAAAAACATGAAATCAAAGCACAGATTAATAACTATACATGTATTCATGCACCATGTAAACAGATCAACAGAAAAGTCTTTGAAGTTCATGGTAAAGGCCATGAAATATTTAAAAAAAAAAGTCTCAATTCAGTTATCACATGAATGTGTTATTTAGATCTCTTTTAAGAAAGGTGCAAAAAGGTGAACCTGAAAATGAAGGCCTTATATAGAAAAAGAGGAAGGAATCTAAGGAAAATATGCGTTTATTGAGAGTTGTGTGATAAATAGAATCTTTCACTTATGCTTTTGTAATATGAAAATTATGTAATTTGTTTTAGGATATAATATCAAATGTGGTAACAAATAATAATATAAGTACTCATGTAAGATCCTTTATTTATTTATTATAGATATGTAGACTTGGGTAAAGTTGACAGTACCACTCAAGCTAGTAGCAAGACTCAGAAAGTCAATGTAAATAAAAAATCAAAACAACTGAAACCATCACTTGAATTGTAAGTATAATACAAATTAAATTTGTATTTGTTTATGGGAAAATGAGCAGTTTTAATTTGTTACTAATGAGCACTGAGTAGTATCTATATTTACTTGGCAATATGTCATATCGAAACTGTAAGGACTAATCTTTGATCTGCCTGTGACAAATCTTGATCTGCCAGTGACAAATCTTTGATCTGCCAGTGACAAATCTTTGATCTGTTTTATCACTGACATTTCTTTGATCTGTTCTACTAGTGACAAAACTTTGATCTTTAGGTGACAAATCTTTGATCTTCCAGTGACAAATCTTTGATCTGTTTTATCATTGACAAATCTTTGATCTTTTTTTACCAGTAAAAAATCTAAGATCTAATCTACCAGTGTTAAATCTTTGATCTACTGGTAATAAATCTTTGATGATCTGTTTTATCAGTGACACATCTTTGATCTGTTCTACCAGTGACAAATCTTTGAACTGTTTTATCAGTGACAAATCTTTGATCCTGTCATGGAATACTGCAAATCCCAGCAATATATAAAACAGTAGCATATTATCCCTTTAATTTTTATCTTTTGTAGATTTGCAGTCAGTGCTTTTAAACTTGATAGTTGTTATAGTGTAGAACCACCACCAATTAGTAAACATGCTCGAGATATTTACCAAGCTTATATTGATAGAGGTTGCCATGGTCCTGGTAAACCTCGAGACAAAGACTACATCATGTATCAAAAATATGTTGGATCCAAATATGGATAGCCTTTTATGACTTTCCTTATCAATTTTCATTTTCAATAATTTTGTAAAAACTGATGACCAAGTTATCCATTCATTAAAGGAACCAGCAAACATAATATACAGTTTACTTCAAAAACCTGAAATATTTACCCTGTTAAAATAGAATTATATTTATGATCTCCTTAAATAGATTGTGTTAAGTGCAATAAAGTATTGGTCAGTTTTAAATGAATACGAAGGATATCAGAAAACTGAAAAGAATAAAAATATTGTAATCTTACTTATTAAGATTGTCTTAAAAGGGAATAAGTCTCATTAGAGCGGTTTTCTAGAGTTTGAAGAAGTTTATAATGATTGGTTTCACAAGATTTTCTGTTTCAGACATCTGTTGGTGAAGGGACTACTTGAATCACTCAGCGGGCTTTATATCTTGACTTCTGATTACAGCTCATAGTCAAACTGTCGTACTATACAGATATAAAGGTAATTTAACTAGACGTATCATACAGATATAAAGGTAATTTAACTAGACGTATTATACAGATATAAAGGTAATTTAACTAGACGTATTTTACAGATATAAAGGTAATTTAACTAGACGTATTATACAGATATAAAGGTAATTTAACTAGACGTATTTTACAGATATAAAGGTAATTTAACTAGACTATTATGCAGATTTAAAGTAATTTAACTAGACGTATTATACAGATAGAAAGGTAATTTAACTAGACGTATTATACAGATCAAAAGGTAATTTAACTAGACGTCTTATACAGATATAAAGGTAATTTAACTAGACGTATTATACACATAGAAAGGTAATTTAACTAGACGTATTATACAGACAGAAAGGTAATTTAACTAGGTGTATTATACAGATATAAAGGTAATTTAACTAGGTGTATTATACAGATATAAAGGTAATTTAACTAGACGTATTATACTGATATAAAGGTAATTTAACTAGACGTATTATACAGATAGAAAGTTAATTTAACTAGACGTATTTTACAGATATAAAGGTAATTTAACTAGACGCATTATACAGATATAAAGGTAATTTAACTAGACGTATTATACTGATATAAAGGTAATTTAACTAGACGCGTATTATACAGATAGAAAGTTAATTTAACTAGACGTATTATACAGATAGAAAGGTAATTTAACTAGACGTATTATTCAGATAGAAAGATAATATAGGACACATCTGTATGTCATTCTCGCCTCCGGATAGATTGGATTTTAATTTGCAGACAATTTGTGTTAATATCTTCCTGAAAGAAATTTAAATTTCAATTTATTTTTTTAAATTTTCCCCTTTTATGTTGACGTGTTACAAATAAATATGTAACACGTAGACATCTCGTGTAGGAAGAATTGATTGAAATGACATTGAAAAAAATTTCGAATTTCCAGGTCTATTAAGTTCGCGTCTATTTTCAATGAAGTAGACAATTTTCAGGGGGTATTTTTGATGAAGAATGTTTCAGTAAGAAAAGGTGACTAAATTTTGCGGTTTAAAGAGAAAATACGGATAATATCCAAAATATTACGTTGGCGCATTTAGCCTGTATTTTTGGCATGTATGGGCTTTTTTTTATTAACGCGAAAAAAAAACATTTTATTTAATAAAAACATGACCTTAGAAAGTTCGCCGCGGATAAACAATGAAAAATTATTTAAACTTATTTTGAGTCAATCTTGATGGTTGCCAAGAAATAATGGACTCATTTCATTTGGATGCGCAGACATAATGCAACTGATTGTGACGTCACCGTTGCAACGTTATAACGTTTAGTTACAGCGCTTATATTGGTGGATTTCTTTTTAACATAAAGAAAGTTGCAAGACACTTTTCGAGCGGAATTGGTTTTCAACATTTTTTTTATTGAAAAGAAGCACCTAGTCTTTAGAGGACTCTTTCAAGAAGATTTTTAAGAACAACCAAACAATTAGTGTAATTGAGCTATGGGAGCAAGGCATTCTGTTCCTCACCGCAACCAAAGTTCTACCTTTTGGAGGAATTGTAGGTTGTTTTCTTGTTTTAATTGTAAGAAAAATCACACAGAGAGAAAATATATTGATACTAACACAGAACCGGAAGTAAAACCTGATTTACCAGAGGAAGAATCGGTTCAGGTTGAGGTGTATCATCAGAGACCAACACCACGTCGTCCTATGTTCATACCCAAAGGTGAACACGTTGAAACTTCATTAAGTTCAGATGGAGATGATGTTAGCTATCTAAGCATAGGTCCGGACATTTCGACCTCACGAGATGTACACAGCCGGCAAACAAACGACACTGTCATGTCTTCTAAGAACAGTATGGAAAGCGAGTTGGAACTTCGCTCGGTATGTTTGGGCAGTGGCAATCTTCCAGAACAACCATTGAGTGCGGCTGTCCAAGATAAAGCATGTGAAAGAAGACTAA